GAAGATACGTCTGAGCGTGGGAAATGCAGCCGACAGACGAGAATTGCGACCTTGAGGGACAGATGGAAAAAGGGAAAAGGGAAAACCGACACAGGTGCACAAAGGACGAGAAGAGGGGGAAGATTGAGGCACCTGATGGTTTGCTAAACTCGTGGTGCTTACCCCGATTCAGTCATGACTTACTTCAACCGCGCGCCACCAATCCTTATTTTTCCCTTCACCTTTCCATCCGCCTACTCAATATCGACAGGGCCCCTAGGCAATGGGACACTCTTTTTTTTTCTCATGATGAAATCACACCAATTACAGGGTCGTATTGCCGGCATCATAGGCGCGCCTAATTGGTCGGCGGGCTGCCCCTTTCGGCTCAATAGGCTTTTAGACTTTTTGACTCTGGAGCTTGTTGGGGAACTCATTTGGGGCAGGGGAAATGATTAGCATGCGTGCTAACGGCCGGCTGGCAGGGTCGCCCAGGTCCCCCGGGGAACGTTCCCAGCCCACGGAAGACCCGGAGCTCGCTGTGCGGTGCGGTGCGGTGCGGTGCGGTGCAGCGCCCTCGCGTTCCTCGACGACGTCGTGCTCAGTAGAGTGGGGAGGAGATGGTGGAGGAGGAGGAGGAGGAGGAGGAGGAGGAGGAGGAGGAGCAGGCACTGGGACGACACGGTCCCGGGGAATGTTCTATCTTTCCAGTTCAAAGGCAGGCCGCCCGGGGGCCCGGGCAAGCCGGAACCTCCGTGTTTACTTTTGCTCTGTTTCTTCCTCCCGCCCCATCCCCTCCGACATTCCCTTCCCTTGCCCTTCCGTGACGTTGTTTGGGTTACCGCCGAGTCTGATCGCGAGAAGGCACTGAAACGTCGTCCAAATTTCTCACAGGCCACGGCCGCGTGGCGCTCGCTTGTCTGGATTATTGGTCCGGATGGCCAGGTCACGTCCTGTCCGGATGATTCAAAGAAGGGGGAAAACTCTTCTTTTCTTTTTCCTCTTCTTCTCTTTGCGTCCACTCCGGATGATGTTCAGCGGATTTTCTGCTCCGTCCAAGTAGATGAGGCGGAATAAGGCTGGGATCAAGGCTGATGGAGCCCAGATGAAATCATTCAATTCCGTCACCCAAGACGGGACGTATGTACGTACAAACGACATCGTCATCGCGCGGGGGTCCAAACACCTCCTTAGCTCCCTCGCTCAGCCCTCCCACCCTTTTCTTTTTCTTCCCTCCCTCCCCCAGTTCCAGGGATTTGGGATCGCAGGAGAGACACAGACATAGAGAGAGGAGGAGGAGAGAGACATGGGCGGGCACCATCGACCACGTCCATTGGGCACCAAGACACACACACTCACATACTTCACACACCCATATGCATCGAAGACGCAGCAGCTCGTGCGTCCGCTTCACTTTGACTTGCTCAGGGAGGCTTGGACTTTTACCCATCACTAGACCGCCTGCAGACTACGGGCCTGTCGCTCGTTGCTCGGGCCGCTTCCTCCTCCTTCATGCTTTGGGGGCCAACCACAAAGCACACGTCGAGACATTGGGAAGCTAGGGAAGGGACGGCCGCGGTCCCCGTCAGAGACATACCTAGCGCACATGCAGGCATATCGTCTGATCTCACCCCTTACCCACATCATCGCTCCGTTTCCCTGCAGGCAGGTTGCTCGCGTAACACGAGACAGAATTATTGACGCTGCGGCTGACATCTTCTTTTCTTCTCGCATGATGTTCATGTTCTGCAGCCTCACGTCGTGCTACCCGAGGTTTTTTTTTTTTTTTTTTTTTTTTTTTGGGATGTACGATCCATCCCCTTACACAGAGAGACTGACGCACGACATGATTCGCTCCGATCTCGTGTTCACGTTGCGCAGCAGAAAGTTCCCGATCCGCCCAGCGGGTCTCTGCACACGCCGAGCCGGGCCAAGAGCCGACCGAGAAAGCTTGATAGGCGGCGGGGACGGCGGCAAGAGAAACGGAACAAGGACGGGGAACTGCCTTGTTTCCCCCAGCTATAGACTTGAGTGGGATGGCGAAGATGCTCCTCATCCCCCTAGAAGACGGGAAGCTTCCTTCCTCTGTTTTGCCTCAGGATCCACCAGTCTTGAACGGAAGATCTGAATTGAAGATGGCAATCACCGTCACATCTGGGTTACTGATCGATTATTACCCACATTTGACTTACATCGGTCACACAGGAATCGATAGAAGTGTCGGCATGCCTGCTCCTTCAGGGATAGATGCAAGACCCTGCATGCTTCTCTGGAATCTCCGCAAGCAACTATGGATCGGCTATCGAACCCGACGCAGGCCTCAGGAGGTTGCAGATGGAGGGGCCGGGCAAGCCACATGACAGGCCGGGACGATGCGGCGTCCGTCCCTTGGGCACGCAGGACGCAGCCGCATGAAGGCTCAGTCCAGGGCTGGTCGAGTTGACGCCCCTCCCCTCCCCGCCGGGCAGTCGTTCTCGGCTCCTCGGCGAAGAGTTGCTTGGCCTTGGTCCGTCGTCTCCTTTGGGCCGGCCAAGACAATCATCCGTGTCACGTTTGACAGATGCGGGCTGATGGCTCTCTCTGCTCTTCGTGTTCCCTCTCTCCACCTTTTACGGGAGAGGAGAGCACACACAGCAAAACACACACGAAAGGAGAGAGGTATGTGCGGACCTAAGCGCCGGACCGCCGCCCGTCCTGTTGCCGCGCATATACTTTCAATAGTGGCGCCCGGCTCTCCTCCGCCTTATGCATATTCCTCGCACCGGCGGACCTAGCGCTAATTGCGCCTGCGTTGTTGGAACCGCGTTCGTCCCCGTTCTTGACCTCGTATATCATGGCATTAGAGGTGCACCGCCGGAACAAGAGCCGTTGGGGCCGATTGTTGCCGACGACAAGAAGCATCTACTAACTACCCGTTGAGTCAAGCGTCGAGTTATTAGTTGGCATGTTTGGCATATGCCAGCTGAATACAGATACAGAAACTGGCTTACACTCACCCACCCCTCGAGCTCTCTCCCCTACGTCCACATCAAAGCCACAAACGCCAGCCACAGCGCGTAGCTTCATGTCTTGAACGTGACGACCAAAGACGGCGTGGGCAAGCGGCAAGGACCCTGGAAAACGTCGTGGTTCGCCATTGGCGCAAGCCTCAAGAACAATGAAGCCACACGTCACAGGAGTGAAAGAGGACAAAAAGAAAATGCACGGCCTCGTCCATCGACGTCTTGTCTTTGCCTTTCCGTGTCTTGTCTTTGACGTGGAAGGAATGTGTCGCGGTCGTTGGAGGGGACGAGCGGGGGCGGGAAAAGAAGAGGCTGAATCCGAGCGACCACGACGACAGGTTTGTGCTGCAAGCCCAACACCGCTTGGGCATGTTCCTTTTCTTTACATCCCCCTTGGGGCCCCAATCCGACTTCCCACACGCCCCCCTTTTCCTTTCCCCTTTCCCCTTTTGAGAGAGGGGTCTGATCTGTCTGACCTGCCTGCCTTGCCTACCCGGCCGAGAGACCAAGATACACGCCTTCGAGGTACACACCAAGCCAGGCCAAGCCTAGCTAGAGCAGCCGCACCCCACGGCCTGGGTACAGGCGACACTGCATCTGCAATTTTGCAGTCATCTCGATGTGTTGGGTTCGGTAGTTCCTTCCTTCTGTCGCTGTCCTACTCCACTAGTTCCCTTGTCCACCACCTAGATGGTTCATTGTGCTGTTTCTCGAGTCTATGTGGAAGGCTGGTAAATGTGGCTTGCGCTTGATTCCCTCTGACGTTGGTTCTCTCGGCCTTTTTTTCCAACTGGTGCGAGGGCGGTTACGGGAGTGTCTGTTGGTAGAGGTGGCGTTTAGGTGGCGTTCGAGGGAGGCATTCGGTGTGTGTAGTAGTAGCACGCGGAATGACCGAGGAACAGTTCGGCCCGTGGCACTGGCAGATTCAACGCGGAAACCGAAGCCGACGCGGGTGCATACCCGGTGTCGGCGGTCCAGGTATGTAAGTACACCGGAGTTTGGTGAGGTTTGACGGAGCACGCCGCGATGTATGAGCAATCCTAGCGATGGATATAATCTGGCATCTTATTATACAAGGAAACTTGTGGAGGTACGTTACACACTCGCAAACTCGCGTCAACTCTTCGCATATCACGTCAAGTATCGGAGCCCCCAGTTTGGTACGATCAATCGGCCTCCATGGGCCTCTGAACAATCAAGAACGCCTCGTCTAAACTCGGAACTTGATATCCACAAGTACGAGGATGACCAGTTCAGATGCGTGTTGATGAATCACCCTCATGTTACTATGCCTGTGGCGCGAGGGGAGTCTTTGATGATAACCCAATTCGCCTGTTATGTGTAAGATGCGTTTCCCATCAAACTGCCGATAGGATGTCTCCTGTTGATTCTTGTGAGAGGCAGACCGTATCCCAGAGGCACGGGGAGGGCACGGGAGGTCGTGGCTTTCCTCGTGCTGGAAGAGAACGGTGCGGCATTATTAGGCAATGGGCAAGATTCAGACTCGGAGATGTCCAGCTGAGGGACACCCCCTTCCGGTCCCAGGCGGGCTAAGCATCACCGGGGGCGTCTGAAGGATCATGATTGAACGGCTTGTGTGTGTGTGTGTCTGTCGCGCTCTCTGCGGCTTTCATCTTAAGAAAGTCGCTCTCTAGACGGAGCCAGTCATTGGCAGACAAGAAGGAGAAGAAGAAACCGAAATAAAAAAGGAGGGAGCGCGGAGCATCTCATGCAAGGGTATCTCTCCAGTCTAAGCCCCCATCGCAATCCAAGTGTTCTGTTTGTGAGTGCCACTTCTCTTCTCTTCTTTTCCCTCTTATCTTTGTTTTGTTGTCTGTTCAGTCGAATCAACCATATCTGCGAGCCGCTCGCAGCCGTAGACCCGTCGTTCTAACCTGATCGGTTCCTTCAACCTCTGCTGTAGATTGTAGTGTCATCTGCTCCTCTTCAACATCCACCTCATCTTCCTCATAGGCGCACAGCCGCAAGTTGACAGCCAAACTGGTTACAGTAGGGTCATCAGCCCTCCTGAGATGGCATCGCCGTCGGGTAAAACTCTGGCAGGAACCGGGTGTTTGTCGGGCTGAGGACCAGCTCTGGGTATATGCCCTGGATGATGGACCAACACCACCTAGCATCGGCATCGATATCCATGAGACTCTTGAACCATTCAACACACAGAAATATGGTCTGCCTCGCCTGCGCGTTCCACGCGCCGGGTCTCTTGAACTCCTCCTTGTCCTTCTTACCGATACTGAGACACACCGCCTGCAGCCTCGGGTGCGTGATGGCGAGGCGTAAGATGATGAGAATCCCCATCAGGTTGTGCGACCAGAAGTAAAGACCATGGATCAGGCGCTTGCTGTGGCACATCGGCGGTATGATAATGGGCCAACAAACACACTGCCGGAGGTATTCCTCGGCCCCGACGAGGTCTTGAGAAGACAGCTTGTCAGAATGCACGACCCGGTAGATATAAGGACGGTACAGCAGACACCGCAAGTAACCGAGACGAGTGCGCAGCAAAGCTTGGAGTATGGCCTCGGGCGACGCTGGCTGTGTCGGAAGAACTCCCGTCGCGATCTGCTGCTGTGCCATAAACTGGTTGCTGGGAAAATACACGGAACCGATTGAAGACATGACCCCTTCCATGCGTTCTTCCCCAGGGGTAGGGTACGGCGATGGGTATGGCGTGGGATACTGCCCTGGGAACGGTGTAGGGGTCATGCTTTGGTTAGTATTCCACTGAAGTCCTTCCATCAACTGCGATTGCCATTCGTTGAGACTACTTTGCATCTGGTCAACTGCAACGTGTAGCTCATGGGAAGCCTTCTCCTTGGCCGTCTGCGTAAACAGCCCCGGACTGGAGGCCGGCCGCGTCGAAGCTGGGTGAAGCGAGATCGTTAGCGGGTTACATCCCAAACGGATCATCGTATGGTGGGTGGCATGGGGAATGCCTCCTGCTGCACTTGCGATGGTGCAACTCAGAACTGGCATATGACGACAGAGTCATCGCTGAGCGCCAGCGAGAGGAGAGTGGTCAGAGTCAGAGGCGCTGCTGAGAAGTACTCACCCGTTGACAATGTGCGATGTATGTCGAGCGCGAGCTTCCGCATGCTGATTTGCGAGTAAAAATGCTCCTCGTAAATGCCGTACCCTGCATCTGGGACCAGACTATCTGAGAACATATCTGGCCACATTTCGCATTCTGTCTTACTGAGCGATGTCACAGGCAACTCGAGCTCCAGGTTGAGTCCCCTGTTCAGTAATCATTCGTCAGACAACTCAGACAGACGTGGAGGGATAGACACAGGGGATGACAGGACTGGCCGGGCGTTGATGATCCAGCCAAACACCACGAGGGGGTGGGAGGGGGGTGCGATTAAAGCAGACGACGCGGACGCGCATCGTCATCAGGCTACAGGAATGCGCCGTGAAATGGAAGATGGGGTTGGCGATGACGATGGGGATTAGGGGTCCAGTTTGGGGCGTTGAGTTGGGGGTCCAACTTTTTTTTTTCTGGATCGTTGAATTGAACATGAAGGGAAAGGGGCGATGGCACATACGTTTCTGTGATGGAGCAATGCCAAAAAAGCCGCCGCATCAGATCTGCCTGCGTCTGAGATCGGTCCTGGCCAGAGCTGCTGCAGGCTCTCATCAGCACATTGGCCAGTAAAAACAGCGCACCGGATGACCCGCGGCAATAATGGGGGTAGAGAAATCTCACCCGGCAATCATCCTGTGGCAAGCCAAGGACGCGTGAACGGACATAGCTCGGAATTCCTGCCTCCATCTTAGCCAAATACCCACGGCAACCCCTCCTCTCGCCGTTTCTTACCATGTGTCGAGAACAGCATTCATAGTACAATCTGGTCGTGGAAACCACCAAGCTCGAGTCAGCCAAAAAATTTCTTTTTCCAACAATCACACCCAAAAAGCGCGGGTGCGGCTCCCGATGCGGGCACCTATGGGACGGGCCCCCGGGTCCGGTCCCGGTCCCGGTCCCGGTCCCGGGTCCGGCGCCGGCGCCGACACGGATCCGGATCCCGCCCGGATCCCGGCGCCACGCCCGGCGCATCCCACCCTCCGATTACGAGAACTCACCCTGCTAACACGAAGACCTGTACGGCTTCGATGGTGGAATCTTCCATGAAGAATCCCATGCGGCGTCTCGCCTCGTTGAAATAGTGCAGGCCCGGCGGTTGGTTGTCCATTTCCATACTGGCACCCCCAGTTGAAGCCATGTGAGCCAGAGCAATCGTCAGAAACACCAGAGCGCATTCTGCGCTTTCTTGCGGAACTTTACCGCTGACTGCAGATGACAGTGTTCTCTTCATGAAGTACTCCTGGTCTAAAACAGGGTGCATCAGGTGGAAAGTACTGAAGTATATCGTCGATCCTTGCTCCAGCCATTCTTTGTCGGCATAACTCAGGGTCGCACCGCCCGCAATATTCGGTCTGAGAACATCATGCGAAAGTTTCCCATCGCGTCCTTGGCTTTCCATTAGGATCGACGTAAAGTTTGGCTCCAGGAGGGTCTCAAGTCCCTCTATCTTGGGCTCAGCAGCTCGAAGCATCTCCCATACTGCACCCCACCGCATCATTTGATGAACGGCGGACACGTACTGCAGCTGCGTCTGTAGGGGCACGGGCATCTGCAAACTCGCCGTCGCGGTTTGTGACTGGTAGCCGAAAGGGTCGAAAATCTGGTAAAGTCTAGAAATGTCTCCGCTGTTCTCATAAATGTGGTGGATTTTGGGTTCGATACGAGCTAGATAATCTCGAATTTCTTCCATAGTTCTGTCTTTCCTGTCGCACATCATCTAGTTAACAAAGGCTGACAAGGATCCCTCCGGACAACCCCCGGCGAGGCAGTCCGCAGGGATTGAGAGAGGAATGCTGGGAACAGACGTGCAGTCGTTGATGCTATCGGAGTCAGAGGAGGGTTAGGCGGGAAAGGAACTCACTTCGTCACGGGCGGCGCCGCGTAGTCGCACTGGAACCCTCGCTGTTTGCAGAAGCTGCACTTGGGTTTCTCCGCGTCGCATGCCTGCTTTCTTCTACGGCAGGTACCGCATGCCTGTTATCATGTCAGGTTTCTTCTGGTTGACAAGAAAAGGCCAAACAGTTGCTGGTCGGCAAGGGAACAGCTATCGGACGGCGACAGATCGAGATCGCCAAACTCAACGACCATCGGCAGCCAAAATTACGAGCAAAGCCACGTCGTCAACATAGCCGCAAAACTTTGTGCTGTTGCAGTCGACGCAACGCTAAACCTGCAGCAAAAATAGCGAAAGGGTCTGTTGGACTTACCACCTTCATGACGGAGTTTCGGTCCCTTCTCAACTCGGCCGCGGCAGAGCTTCCTCGCGACATCTCGCTAGAAGGCCCTGCTGCTGCTTCGTCGTCCATGGTACACCTAATAGTGACGGGATCGGAGGGGGTTTGATTCGATTTGGGTGTTGGAGATTCATGAAGAACCTAGGACAAGTTGAGTCGAGGAGATGGCATGCCAAAAAGCACAACGCCAGGCAGTGCGAGGGTCGAAGGGGACCAAAAGCAAGACTGCAACAACAACAGCGTCGATTCAGGCAAGCCGTCGAGGTGCTTGCGAAGGGGTGATTAACCCTAGGGGCGACGAGATCGGGTCTGAGAGGGCGAGTGATGGCGAGGGTGGCACTCGGCGGGCCACTTTCGCGGTCGCACAGAGGAGGAAACGGGTGGCAGGTTGAAGCTGTGTCGTGAATGGCTCGAAAAGGTGGCGGATGTGGTCTAATTGAGTCTTGGGGTTGTCAAGTGGCAAGCCGTAGCAGGCACGTTGGGCAACATGGGGACGTGGAAGTGGAGGAGCAGGATGAAGAGGGCAGGGAGAGGGAGGGAAGGCAAAAGCGGAAGCGTCCTTCAACAGACGGAGTAGGCACGGCCAGAGACGGAGTTGAGGGGTCCCTGTTGCCCGGAGTGCATTCCGTGCGTGCTTATGATATCCTTTTTTTTTTGTCCTTAGTCCCCTCTCTCTCTCTCTCTCTCTCTCTCTCTGTCTGTCTCTCTGTCTCTCTGTCTCTCTTTCTCTCTTCCTATTTTCGGGGGGGGTGGGTGAGGGTGAGGCGTATGATAGTAGGGCGCTGCGGGGTGGCCTGGCGAGCGCACCGGAGGCGGAGGTGGCTGCAGGCAATTGATGTTGCTGTTTGGCCACTACTGGATATCGCCGGTAGAAGCCAGGCGGAGTATGAGTTTTTTTTTTCCGACTGGGAAACCGACTGGAAAAAAGACTGGAAGGCTGGCAGCGACAACGCGGAACAAATTGGTTTCTGACTGATGGACTGGGGGTCCCGTTCTGGCCGGGGCACAAGGCCGTCTCCGATGGTCCGCGGTGCCGGTGGAAGCAAGTCTTGTTTCTCAAGCAACGCTAGGATGGCGAAGAGAAAAGCTCGAGAGTAAAAAAGACTGCAACCCGAGAAGAGACGAAATCGGCAGAGGCAACGACGAGGATGGCGACGAGGATGGCGCCGGAGCAAGTGGCACACACACACGCACACACACACACCTCACGCGCCGAGAGATAGTTCCGGAGCGAGACCCAGGAGAGGCGGCGGGAGGGTGGAATGACCCATTGAAGGCTCAACACAGGCAGGGCAGACTAATCGAGTGGGCGCACACAACTCCCATTGACCGAGCGATATGAATGGAAACAAGAGGACAAAGCAAGCCTATGAGACGTATCCAATAACGGTGGGCGGAATGACACTTTTTTACCCTCAACAGCAAGGTCCAAAACTCACAACCCGCAACTAGTGACTGTGACAGGGAATAGGCGGGATGAGTGGACGCCGGGTGGTATTTACCGCTCAACATTGGGTTGTCCGCAGCCATCAGGTCTGGTCTTTTTTTTTTTTGTCCCTCCCCCTCTCCCCCCCTTGGTTCAACGGGGGCATCCGACCGTACACGACACGACTGGAGTTGATTGTACACGCTCGAAACATGCAGTTCCTACCTTGCCTTCGGTACATCATGCTTGCGGAGTCCTGACTTGTACCAAATTGAGAAATAAAATAAAACGGACTCGTAGGCTACCGTCACAACAACCTACCTGGCTGAGATGTATGGTGCAGGAAATACGTGGGGCATCAAGCGGTGGGATGCGATGCGATGCGCTGCGTTGCGATACGACGACGAGTATCGCCGAGGTTGGAAAGGGGGGAAGGGGAGAAAAAAAAATCGAGTCCAACACCATGTCAAGCAACCACAAAAGACTTACCTAAATTTGGGCTCGCAATGACTTGACGCTGCCAATGGCTGACATGGGGCTCTCCCGACAAAGCGATGAGTGGCGGCGTCGGGAAGGGCAACAAGTATGGATACATGTGAGTTCAATGTTGCCGGGCTGAAGCCACTCCACGCCTCGTTTGTCTCTCACCCCCCTCCTGTTTAGCTCCCGCTTCGACTCCTCCTCGTCCTTTGCAGCAGTAGGTACGGATACGCCAGCGTTGGTGCGTGGAAGCCTGCCTACCTGCCTGCGTTGGTTGATAATACCCTAGTCCGGGATGATGCGAGGGAATGAGTAGTGAGTGAACAAGATTGGAAAAAGTGAGGGCCCGAGGCGATCCAGTCCTTTGGCTCGTTCGCCTGTAAGGTCGGTCGGTCGGTGTTGTGTTCATGACGCAGGCCCGGTCGTCGGTCGCTAGTACAAAAGGACTTGGCCGGGAGTTTGCTTAATAACGAAAGAAAGTGGTGGTGCAACATCCCATCGACTTGTTTGGCAGAGCCCTGTATGAAAAACAGGATGACCCCTCCACAAGGAATGAGTCCCCTACGCGGGTCGATCTGCTGGAGGTCCTCGGTTATTGTGGGGTCAGGCTGCCTGCCCCCCATCTCTGCTGCGCTGCAACATCCATGATGGGTTTCTCCGAAGGGCCAGTATCCGCACTGCGTAGGGCCAAGGCAAGGCCTGTCGCAACTTACAACTCATGGCTCGTCACAGAGTGCCGAAGACTGAAGGCATCCCAACATACAAGCACCATCCTCGTACCTGGTGCGGAGAGATGGCTTCTGTACTACGCCGCAAGTCGTTCGCCGTTGGGAACGGGCTAAAGAAACTTCCATCGGACAGATGTGGCACGGGCAAGGGGGCCATCTCATCTGAAATGCTAGACCCGATCTAAGATTCGACCTGGCTCAACTTGGCTGGGTAGGGCTGGTCACTGCGGGCGAGCTAAAGGTTCACAGCCCTGACAGACCTGGGAGGGAGGGGAGGAGAATGCGCACACCACCTACTTGGATGAAAATGAGCAACGGCCAGCATAAGCACGACATTCGTCTGCCACTTACTTGGCACACTTACTTGGAGGACAATGTCGCGAACCCGCACCTGTCTGATAAGAAGAGCCTGGCCTGGCGTGACCTGGCCTGTGGAAGCCATGAGCACGGTGTGTCGTCTCCCAACTGCACTATGCACCGTTTGGGAAGACCTTGAGAGATTACTCACCGGAGTGTCCACTCCCGCTCATAGTGTGCTTGCAACTAGAGGCCATTCGCGTACCTACGAATAGAGCAATGGGTTCGTGCAGCAGTGCTGTGCATATTCAGGCGGGACCACGACTCACGAGACCGACCCCGGAACAGTGGGCGCCAACCGGCACCCGCCATTCTTGTCTTGCTCGGGTCGAATCGTCCTGAGTTTAAGGGTCCTGTGAGGTAAAACTTTAAGATGTGCGTATCCGGAATGCCTGCCCTTCTCCAGCAATATGATTAATCACTCACGCGGACGACGGAAGCAAAGATGGCACTGCACACTACGCAGTAGGTAGAGTGATTTTCGGCCAGAATCGCACCATCAAATCGTGCCAATTCCGCCCCTCGTTGATGTGAGGGGATCTCCGTTGAGTCCGTTGAGGAGCATCAAGTGAAGCCGCTCATACCTGCCAGCTTTGGCCAGCGTGTCTTTCCTCGTCTTGTTTCCTCCTTACATTCCTGCCATTTTGCCTGCTAGCCCGTCCCTCACATAAAAGTCTACTTATTCAGGTGCTGATAGTGCGGGAGATGCGTACCTTGACCTTGACACCGGCCAAGTTTCCAAGTTTCCATCTATTTCTGTCTCACTCCATCCCTCCCTGACACCATGCTGGTGTGACAGCTCGAACTCCAAAACCCCTGTCCCGCCTTGCTCGGGTCCGATCTTGGCTGCACTGGGTGGTACATACTGCGTAGTAATGGGTGCTGCGTGGTATCTGGCATGGTGGCCCGGTGGTACGAGGTAAAAGAGCAGTTGCACTCGAAAGCGGCAGACAGATGAGATTGCACTCCCGCGGCGAGGAAGCACCGATGCTTGTATCAGCCCCCATATCCCCGCGAGCCCCGAACGTCCATCCGGTCTTGACCGTGAGCCAACACCAACACGCATTTGGCACGATGAGGAATCAAATTGGCCGTTTACGATCAGCGTAGACATGCCGGCAGACGTAGTTTCTAGATTGATTCCAACTCCCGTGCTCAAGCGAGATGTGTCGTCAACGTCGACGAACGCTAGTCCTCGGTGAGTGTGTCAGAGTTGAATACGTCCACCGCGACAAAAGTGCCTCGTCCAAGCTGTCTGTCAGCAGTAAGGTAGCGATCCGCAGGAGGAGGTGGGTGCTACCGTATGCTGGACTCAAACCATGGGTTGCTGCAGGCGGTACCGAAACAAGCCGGGGGGGGGGGGGAGGGGGGGGGGCTTCAATCCGACAGCCTGCTTGCTGCCTGGGACTCGGGCCCGCTCCGTCGCGGTTCAGTTCAGCAACAGTTGCCGAGTAATGATGGCTTGGTTTCGCTTTCCAGCTGACTTGATGTTGAAGCATTGGACTTTGAATATCATTGCGACATGAGCTAACCCTACCTTACTATTGTTACTGTTGTAGCAGGCACTACAGCGAAAGGCATTTTCCTAAAAGCGGATAGCGGCGCCCGACGTGGCTTAGCAGCCCTTGGGCCCGTCGTCTACCCTAGGTAGGTAGCTTACCTAGCGTGGACCCTCTCCGGGGAGCGAGCGTTCGTTCGGTGCCAAAGGGCATTCATCCCTCGGACTAAGGCACCTCACAGAGTATTGGTACCTTACCTTACGGATACACTAGCACATTTGCCAACCAACAACACTGACTGACGTCGCTTCTTTGAAGGGTGCACGGCACGGAGCGGGACCGATTTGTCGCGGAGACAACACCGGATTCCGTATCTTCCGCGGATGTACGGCTAGATGGCCTTCTTCCGCAAAACATGCTGCAAATTACGGCAGGCGCCTTCAGGCTCCGTATGGAATGCACCTCGAGGTACCTTACCTTACCTTACTTGACCTTAGCTGTCAGCATCAGCACCACTTTCCTCAGCCTACCTAACCTCGACCAAGGCATGGCATTGCGGTATGACACTAATAGGTGTCAACATCGAAGCCCGAGTACCAGTGTAGACCCACAATCCCGTCTTACCTAATCTTCAAGAGAGCACTGTAAGGTAAGAGCATGCGGGGAGGGGCTGAACCATCTTACGCGCCACAGGGCGGCACCAGCGGCTGCCCCTTGGCAAACTTCAGATCTAGGTCGATCCAAATCAGATCCGAGCTTTACCATTCGCCTTCTACCGCCACCATGAGAGAAGGAATTAACGGACAAAGAAACAAACATGCACCCTCGAACCCGACGAGATGGTTTGGCTCGCGCCTAGCAGCGACGCCGGCTTGTCTACCCCCCAGCCATTCGGCGTCCGACGTCTGCCGATGGCGTGTCGCTTTCCAACCCCCAAACAATCATAAGCATCACCTACAACGCTCGCCCAAAATTCGACAACCTCGTCTTCGGTAGCTACTTGCGCCGCAGAAGCTGATGACTGTCTAGAGATACAAATGCCGACGACGGTGGTCAAGGTCCATGGTTACGCAACCCTCGGGACGGAGGTTTTTCAGCCCTACCCACACACAGGAAATCCCGTCTTCGATTTAGATGACGCTCTCTGGCAGAACTTCTGCCGTCTCTACGCTTCAAAAGTCTCCTCTTACGCGAAAATGACTTTTTTTTTTTTTTTTTTTTTTTGCTTCCTTTCGGTTTTGTGAGGAACCACCCGGGTACTTGAGCCGTTTCGCGGCATCTCGGACCTGATCTTCCGCCTAGGTTGCCTATCGTCTGGTCCACATCCCGAACTACCCCGACCGCAAAAAAGGGTGGCTAGGCACTGGGGTAGTCTGGGTCTTACCCTGGCATCTACCGCGAAGAATTCCAGCCACCGTCGAGTTGCGAATCACTAATCGAAGTCCTATCCAGCTACGGATACCCGTATATCCGTACGGAATGGACGAATTGCTCGATGCATTTTCCTATTTTCAGCCGCACTTCGGGCCTTCTCTCGTCTCTAATTGTTCGGGCACGCCAAAACAAACGGCTAGGGACCCAGTATGCATTCCCACTGCGTTTCGGCTGCCGTTAGCCTCCTTTCGCTCTTGATGGACATAAGCCCTTCGACGCCACGCCCGATTGCGAGGCCCAGAGACTGAAGAGAAGCCCGAGACCCTTGAACCGCTCAGCCGCCCCGGGACTTCATCGTCATCTACACCGACGGCCGTGGCATTAATATGGCTACGTCTTTCGATGTATCTATACACGCGCCGAAACCTTGTAAGAGTTGCAGTCACCCCAGCTGCTCGGCCTTCGCTACCATTCTGCTTTGCCTTCCACGTCTCAGCTGCAGGAGCTAGCTTGCAGCTGCGCCAGTCTGGGGTTCCGCTTTTGGAGTGTCGGGCCCTCATTGGTGACAGGCCCGGCACAAGTTCCAGGGGCATTGTGTGGTTTCTTCAGTTCTGTCCGTACGCAGTAGTTCTCTGCGGCGGGCCATGCCCGACTATCGTCTTGAACATCGGACTTTACCGACGCCTTCGTGCGGCCAGACCTGAGCAAGCAGACAGACGTCCGAACTGCCGACTTTTTTTTCACACGGCGGAATTTTTTCAGTTCGGAATCGAGAGAGAATTCGCTGAGCTGCCTGCCAAGGTGTCAAGGCTGGTTGTACACCGGCACTGGTCATATTGCGGGAACAGCAGGCAGCGGATCTTCTATCTGCACGGCACGATGGACTAACACTACACCTGCACACAATGAGACCCTGTACTGAGTGCAGTACTGCGGTGCGCGAAACGACAGACAGACAGTGCTAACGGCATGCGGACTGGTCGCTGGGGAGGGCGCTTGTCATCAAGATCCCAGATCAATTGTCCGATCCTCACTGTCTCTTCTGATTACACATCGCACAGAAATTTCCAGCGATCGCAGAACCGCAGCCAAATCGATTCACGGCTACGTACCGTCTGGGCAGGCACTATTTCAACCTCGCGGCTGCGAATTGGACAACCCGAGTCAACCTTCATCGACGATTCGCATCTCGACAACCGTCAGGCGCTTTGCGAGGCTCCAAGTCCTCTTTGCTTATGATGCTCGTACGATCCAAGGACCAACCGCAGTTTGTTCGCGCCTTACTGGGGCCACGGCGCCAAAAGCACGTCGCTCGAAGCAGAAACGGTTTCCTGCCCTCGATCGTGTCCTCTAGAGGCTCATCCGGTCCATCCGCAGAGCGGCTTCTTCTTTTGTGGTTTCCGATTCCTTCCTAACTACTCTATATCAATATTCCATTCGTATAGAGCGGCTTCTTCATTCCATATCAAGCAACCTTTTCTTTCCAAGGAATGCATAAACCGCCAGCTGTACACATCAAAATTTCCATGGAAGTCTCATGCAGCACCCCGGGAGATGGCTTCAGTGCCAAGCCATGTCAGCAGCCGCAACCAGGCGTGATGTGTTGCCGGATCACGATCCATCTCATGTTCGCCATGCGTGACGCTTTTGAGGTATCTCTCGAGATTGAGTCTCCAAGTCTCAAGTCTCCAAGGCTTGCTTGGCATTCGCCAATGAATTGTTCGACGTGGAATCAAGACCGCTCCAAAGGGCCGCTCGTACAGCAAGTTTCGCTGGGATTTCCATTTTCAGACACGCAGGTAGTAAGGAATTACCAGCATCAACGGCGCTTCCAGTGAGCGGGGCGGGACCCTCTCTCTCTTTTTGTGTTACCGGCCGGCAAAATGTCATGAAAACACTATTTGATTTTTGACAAGAACGAAGAGACGAAGCCCAGTCTAGACCGTACAGACTTTCCCCCCGTCCCCTCAAGCCTGCGGGGTTATCGCGGGGAGTGATTTGCTGATCTACCCGAAAGAACAGACGATGGTTCGAGGCATCACCGCTCAAGCACCATCCCCGCCACAGATTTGATTTCTTGTCGTCGTCTCCTTGGTGATCGCTTCTGCTGCGTCTTGAAGCCTCGCAAGGCCTGCTCACTTCCCGGCAGGCCCCAGCTGCCGGACGCTCTCGTACGCCTCTAGGGCGAGAGACCTCGGAAATTCACAGTGTTACAGCGATCCGATCCGTTCCACTGCGTTGCGTTGGAGAGAGTCACAATCGAGGTGACCCCGTTTGTCTTATTGCTTGTCACTTGTCAGATTGGCGCTCACCAGAACCTTGCAACGCTTCCCTGCCCCTGGACGAACTCCGACCCCCTGGCGGTGCACGTGCAAGTGACATGCCGCGAATCACCGGTCAGCAAGCGGTGAGGAAATTGGACTTCTCGAGTGGGCTTGTAACTTTTTTTTTTTGTTCCGAATCGCACGATATGGACCACCGTTTGGGGAAGCGATCAGTCGACCCCATAACCAGGCAAAGAATCGAGATCAAGAAAAACCCCCGCTTTCAACGGTTAGGGTGCCTATTCGCTGGATACTCGCAGGCCCATGCAAGCGTACTCGCAACAAGGACTACGTCTGTACAGATTCGAATTTCTCGTTGATGCGTGTGGGGGGGGGGGGGGGGGGGGGGGGCGAAGGGCATCACACAGGGCCCCTCTCGTCCGTATGGAGTATTCCGTCGCACGCGTAAGCACAAAGAGCAGGGGCACGGAAAAGAAGGGGTCATTGATATCAACTGGAAATCGGAGCCGGGTGCTTGAGTTCGATCTCTTGACAGTTTGGGGAAGCCTGACACATCCTTTGCTCTCGGAGGTGTCTTGACGACAACACATCATCAAGCACGCAACACCAATCCCGCCGCATCATGTGCGTACGTGCGTGACATTCCGTCCCAAGAGACCTACCGTTGCCATCATCAAGCACGCAATACCAATCCCGCCGCATCATGTGCGTACGTGCGTGACATTCCGTCCCAAGAGACCTACCGTTGCAGGAAACGCAACATGAAACCCTGCAACTGCCTGTCCGTTTCCATACAACACTTGGGGCGGCAGGCAAGGTATTGTTGAAAAGTTCCCGATCAAACGATCTCGCGCTCCACCATTCGGCGGGCTACGTCCAGTCCATGCATTACAACCTCAAGGGAGGGGCCATCGACGTCTCGATATCTTCGTTCACACGCTCTGCCGGGAGGTTATCTCCGTCCGAGCTAAGCGCTTTGCGATGAGCTGTTCGTCTCATGTCAACACACGTACGCTCTCGCTGATTATCTCGGGGTTCAGGTAGGTGGGTGGATGTTCGGATAGACTCACCTCACCGCACGTCACAGGTTCATACTTGGCGGGATGCGCCTCATCGACACAAGTGGGCAACACGCCGAGTTTTTGATCGAAATTGAAACCTTCACACGTCATTATTCAGTTGAAAACAGGTTTTTGGGATCAAGAAGACGCAGTCGAAGGAAGGGATCACTGGATCAGCCCCATCATTTGCGGGATCAATGACCTCACGTCCCGCGAGGCTGCAGGAGACAGACTTACCGAAAAAGAGAGGCATCGAGATCCTGTCCTCCCGGCCGTGCTGCAAGACCCGATGCACCGTCGACTTGAGGCGGTCATTTGTCAGCCGCATGAGAAAGTCGCCAATGTTCACGACGAAGGTGCCCGGTACCGGCGGCGCCCACATCCACTCCCCGGAGCTGTTGAGCACCTGAAGCCCCTTGTGCTCGTCTTGCCACAGCAGGGTCATGATCTGGAGGTCCGTGTGGGCCCCGACGCCGACCTCGTCCGGATCCTCAACCGGATCGTCGCCGTGGCCCGGGTAGAAGTTCACGGCGAAGTCGCCGCCCGGATACGTTGTTGCGCCGTCAAAGTGGTCCTCGGGCAGATCCAGCGCTAGTGCAATGATGCGGATCAGACGACGGGACAGATCCAGACAAGCACGCCAGTGTGACAGCAAGGCAGACTTGAAGCCCGGCAGGACGGCGCCGTCCCCGGAGTCGGTCCAGGTGAAGTCTTCTTTTGGTAAGTGCTCCCGGACGTGGTCCGGAACCTCGTCCAAGCGGTTCTCGTACAACGGGTCAAACTCTGGCTCGTAATGAAACATGAAGGCTTCCTTCCTGTCTTTGGACTCCGTGACGTTCGCTTGTATCTCTCGAAACCCACAGTACCCGTATGCAGACGTGTTCGAAGTCAATTTGCGCTTCTCCTCCTCTGGGAGCTTGAAGAACCTGTCATCGTGTAAGTCGTTCGCCTCAAGTTGACGCCATTGTCGTCGTCGCCGCGTCTTTTTGGTGGCCGGGACCTACTCAAGCCCCTTTTTGTGAGCGGCACGCGTCACATCCTCTGGCACCCCATGATTCTCAATATAGAAGAACCCGCTCGTCTTCGCAGCGTGCAAGATTTCACGGGCAACCGCCTTGCGCGCGTCGAGGTCGCCGTGTATACCACTCAGGTCAATGATGGGAATCTCATCCGGGGTGCAGTCTCGCGGCGGGTTCGTCGACACAAGTCGATATGTCTGGCCCTCATAGCTGCCCAGGTAGATCTTCTTCATCCCAGCGGGTATCGTTTGCGTGGTGGCGGCCATAATGTGTGCGTGCGTAGCGACTAAGGCCGCAGATATAGAAAATTGGCGCAGATGACGATGTGCTGTGCGACGATTGCAGTCTTCGTGTTCAAACCACGTCTGTTTGGAACCGTTCTTATTTTAGACTTTATATCAAAGGCAGACAGACTTACACAGCAGTTACACAACCCACGTTTTTTCGCCACTGGTGTCCCCCGGAGTCCCTACGCACCGCAGATCGAGGTTCCATGCTCGACCAACCCCGGTCCGTCCATATCCGGTTATCTCCACTCCACCTGCAACCCCTTGCTCCGGCGCTGAACGGTTTCCATTGGACGATAAAGTCAGCGAGGACGAGATAACGACATTCCGACTCCGGCTAATTCCGTTTTTGTCCGGCGCGTCCGACGACGTGCCTTTCTGCCATCGTCAATACCGCGGCGACTACGCGATATCCGCATACCCCATCTCCGCAATAGTCGGCTTCGGATTGTCTTGTAATGTCTGGGAGCGAGGAAAACACGATGCAGAACGAGACAGACGCGCCCAACGTCCGCCGCCGGCGGCTCAGCGATGAGAGCCGTCAGGACGGCGCGGGAGGCGGCAGAGACGAGTCAAATCGGAAAAGAAGGCGGCGAATTCTTTCTTGCGATACTTGCCGTCGGCAAAAGTGTCGATGTGAGCTGGACGAGGAGTCGGAGCAGTGCTCACGGTGTCGTTCGCTAAGGTAAGAAGGCGCACTGTCTTGGTTGGTTATGCGGTCTTGAGGTTAGGGCACAATCAAGGATTGTGATACCCCAAAACGAGATATCCTTCAGAAATTAGCTCGAAATGGCAGGGCGATATCAGATGGGTTGACTGACAGGGTATAGGATTACCTGCACGTGGAACGACAGTGGTGACACGCATTCCGTCTCTTCAAGAGAAGCACCGACGAGTAAGCCAGACGCGGACGCAAGGTAAGTTCTCCGCCCCCATGCCTGTTTCTTGCTGGGAGGGAAAATGTCTCTTAACTCTTTTAAAGTGCTAAAAAGACGCAACTCGACAGAATTAAAAGTCTGGAGGCCTCAATAGCTGATCTGAAGGCCACTGTGCAAATGTTGGCGCCTAGCATCAGGCCAGACCTAAAGAGGACTTTGGCTGTGGGCCGTCAGGAAAGACTTATTGCTATTGATAAAAATGTTACTAGCAACAGCGTCATTGATGACAACGACGGGACTGGAAGTGTCGTTAGCGGTGGTACCGGTGGTACCGTTGGTAGGTCGTCTGCAAACGAGGATGTTGAGCCGGCGGATCGACATGTCTACTCCTCTCCCGCCGAGGTAGTTCGAAAAGTCGGAAGCCAGCTAAGCGGAGGGTTCCGTCGAACATTTGATGTTCAGGCTGACCTCGTTTCTCTGGGAATACTGAGCGAGAAGACGGCTCGCGACTTAGTCTTGGAGTAAGTGTTTTCCCCTATACAAAAGTCGTATAAGTACCAGGGTCCGAGAAAAAGAATTGTGGGGGGCCAAGAAGAAAGGAAGAGCGGCGGCTTTGTTCTTGAACAATGCCTAGGTGTGACGGGAAGGCGTTAACGAGTTGGCATCATGTTTTTTTTTTCTTTTTGGGTTTCTCTAACGCAGCAAACAGATTTGTCCGTCGAAGAAAAAACACCTTGCTGCTAAATAGCGAGATCGACCTGGCCCCGAGGAATAGGGATCTCAGACATGCGTCGCCATTTTTGCATGACGCATGTTGCCTGCATGCAATGAGATTTTCCGAGCACAGCTCTTCAGTTTTGCATCGACGCGTGTTCGAACATGTGCGGTTGCAACTTGGCCAGCTCATGATTGCGAGCCCGTTGCCGCTGGAGGAGTTGATGGGTATTCTCATCATGAGTCTGTGGGCATGTTCGCCATCGGTACGTGATTAAACAAAGCCAACTCTACGCTCCAGCAATATGAGGCTGACACAATGCTACAGAGCCCCGAGTATGTCGACAGTTGGCTGTTGAGTGGGCATTGCGCTCAGCAGGCGATGCTGAGCATCAACTTCTCAGAAATTCTGATGAGAACAAAGGCGAGGACTTCGACAGAGGATGACCAGAGAGTCGTACGACTTTGGGCCAATACATGCCTAGTTAACCTTCAGTCAGTTTGTTCTACAACATCAAGTCTCGACAGACTACTGACTTGCATTCTTTAGTTGGGCGGCTACTACAGGTAGGCCAGCGACCGTGCCTTCTGCGTACTTGGCACAATGCAAGCTCCTCCTCAACTTTGAAGAGGTGACCATGCGCGACGCCATGATGTATGCGGAGATCACATTGTACCTTATCCTGCAGGACAAATTTTCGCAGCGCTCGTACCTCGGTGCCGACGGGGAATGTGAAGAACTTGCGGCGTGGAAATTGAGGTGGAACTATTTGTTTGGTGAGTATCCAAGTCGACGATTTCAATACCCGGCTTCCACTTTGGGCTATGAACATAATTAGGAAGACAATTGTCAATGTCGATCACTAATATTGTGATATCCCAGAACTACCCGCGGCCTCGACATTGAGGATAAGCCATTCCATCGCGTGGCTAATTCTCGCCCGACGCTCACTTGAGCACGACCAGGCCTCTTCGGACGACGACTCCCTGTCAAGCTCGCCAAGGTTACAGCCAGCTGATGCCGTGCGTCAGGAGCCGCCTGCTCATCAGAACCCAGAGCTCCACGACTTGGCGCATGCTCGGGTATGCGGCTTCGCGACAGAGGTGGTGAGGGCGTTCGTGGAGATGCCATCCACTCGGGCAGAGGAGCTGCCTGAGTTCCATCGGCTCTGTGTCGCGTACGCCATGCTGATTATCTCCAAATATGAGCAAAAGCCGCCTTATGGCGGCGTAGACAGTGGCAATAACGGCGGCAGCCATGAAGTGCTGCAATTGCTGAAGGCGGCGCAGAAGCAGAATTCAGTGTGGTCGGCCAGCTCGCCGTCTGCGATTCAATTCGGGTTGGAGAGAGCTTTGAAGAAGGTCACCGCGCGGGTCGAGGGGACGGGCGGTCCGAATGTAGCAAGCGTGGCGGCGGCGGCGGCTACGCCCACAACAGCCATCGTCACGGACAACCGCGCGCCGCACAGGATCGCCATGGCGTCGCCGAGCAGCCTTAGGGAGCAACAGGTAGCTGCTGGTGGTACGCCGGCGGCTTGGGGACAGCATCATCAAGACGCAAGAGGACAGCAGCAACAGCCACCGCCGCACCCACAACAGGATCATCCATCCTCGTTCAGTGGCACGACAATGGTGCCGGAATTCGATGGGTCATTCTCTTTGGAGATGATTGATAACTTCTTCAACGGGGGACATCTCAGTCTCGGAGACCCCTCACTCTTCTAGATATGTTTCAAAAATGAGAACGTGCTCCAACCGTAGTGCACTGTCTTGCTGTATAGCTCCGTAACATTGAGAAATTCGCACGAAAGAATCGTGAGTCTGCGTACCTGTTTCGGTACAAAGCAGCTTCTGCGTTCCCCCTTCCGTTGTCAAGAAACACTTCCCTCGTCAAACGAAAGCCAGATCTTTGCACTCCGCATTGATTGTTTCTGTGCCATTTTTTGTCTCGTTGCTGTTCCTCTACACATTATCGGTAATCGGACTGCTGGGGTTCTCGATGGGGGCGCTTTGAGCTTGTCGTAAACGTCGCGCGTGGAGGGTTTATAGTATCCCGTCGGTCGCCGTTGCCAATCTGCTCTTGTCGGCCCGTTTATTTTTTCGCGGTCATGATCCTCGAGTCATCTTCGTGCCCGCTCGGATTTTGCGTTTGGATAGGTGCTTCGGTATTGCCATTAATTTGTCAAACGTCGTCTGAGGGGAAAGACAGCGTTAGCAAAGTTGCGTCACCCGCGAGCTTCCTGCATGATTCGCCACTGAAATCACCCTATCCTAGCTGCGCTTGCCAACCAACTGGCAAAACTAGTCTGTAAAGACTTGTCCAGCCAATCGACGGCCAGACTACAGCTCGCAGCGTCCTATAATCGACTGTATAGATTCTGGCAAAAGGGCTGAACTCTGTCTCGGATGTGGACGTTGAGCTTCTCTCAGGGTGCCTCCGACCCGGCAAACGTGGTCTGTAGTCGTATGTCAAACCGAAAGTCAGTGAGAGAAAACGGATACCATTTGCCTTTTTTTCTGATTGTCCTCGACGACGAGCGAGAGCCTACTCTCTGCCGTGGAGTGACAGACGAGCGAAAATAATGGATTGTTCGGAGAGGTGTGCATTGACCAGACTATTGGACACTGCGAAAGCACAGAAAGGGCTGGGGGATTGATTCGTATTGACCGACGGAGAGCCGGGCGGTCGCAAAAAAAGAATTGATGCGCGGCACCGGGTTCGAACCAGTGCTGTTTGGGTTAGCGAAGTTCCCAAAATCGAGAAGATATCAACCTACTTTCTGCCTGTCAACAGAAGTGGGAGGGCAACGAGTTAACCACTACTCCAACCACGCCTCGAGTTCATTGTTTGTTTGCTGGTGAGATTCTGCGAGTGAATGCTGCCTTACGAAGGACGCGGGATGCCCATGTCGGCCAGAAGCAGGGCTTTTCGTGACGGGACGTGACGCGTCGTTCTTTCCATTTTCGCTCCGTTTGCAAGCAGGCTTTTGCCCGAGTAGGCAAGGACCTATGCAGTCTCCCCAGAAAGAGCCATTGCCATCACCAATTGCCATCCTTGTTGCCTCGAATTGTTTGCTTAATCTCCCACCTCTTTTCCACCAGAATATTCGTAACGATCCATGCCTATCCGCTGGCCGTAATAGCGGTCTACGCCAAAGCTGAACCGACAGCTGTAAAAATTACAGCAAACAAATGGTGAAGCCTGCATGCAGTCTGTTAGGCGAATATAACAGGATGCATAGCGCCCTCGTATTACAAGCGTCGCTGTGCCAGCACATTGGGCTCCTTAGACCTCGAAACAGTTTCTCGAAGTTACCTGGGAGGAATCCCAGTATTCTGATATCGATTCGGAGGTTCGGGTTTGAATTCGTACGGTCGGATTGGCATACAAGAAATACTATGAAAAACGATCCTCGCGTTTCACGAGAAATATTAATTGAAGACGAAAATGGATTATGCTTAGATGGCCAGCTTTCGGGTTTGCCAACTTCAAAGGACGTTTTGAATGGGGACACTGCGCCTGCTGATTTGTGCAGGTCATCATCGTCGGGTATGTTGACTGTCAAAAACGACGAACCGCACAAAGCATCAACAATAAAGGCCGCAGGTCTGGTTTGTGCAAGCTGGCGAGTTTTGCATCAACAGTTGCTTCTTTTTGAACGAAACTCGCGGTGAAACAGATGGACAGCGGGCCGGCGGGTTGATGTAGTTGAAAAAAGGGGAAAGACGCGCAATTCGGGCTTGGGTGCCGTTATGACCGTTTTTTTCATCAGAGGCGGGCAGCTCCTCCGACGTGAAGTTGAAGAATCGCGATACCGATGAGGCTTAGACGACCCATTTCAAGCCTAAGGACACAAGGAATCGGCCAATTACCTCTTTCGGAAGCGGCATCCTTGCACATCAGAAGCCTATCTGCATGTCGTGGGACCCTACTTGGACACTTTACCGTGCTAGCGGCGCTCGTGCCTGCCGCCAGGAACTCCAACGGCGAGGTTCGTTGGAAGAAGGGGAGATGCTGGTCAGCAGAGGGGATTGTGCTCACGTGCACGTCGAACAAGCTCAAGGAGGTGTGCCACACAGATCATGATAGAAATGGCGACAGTCAACGATTAGTAACAATTGCGGCTAGAGTTCACGGCTTCGTGTAAGATGATAATGGTGGGATGCATGTTTTGGGAATGTGCACGGGAAGTTTCTATTGACTCCACCTCCGGAACTCTGATGCTTGGACTTAGGAGCGGAATTAACGTGGAGGATGGGGGAGTTGTTAAGGTTGATTCTAACAACAGAAGGATGGGATGAGATGGGATGGATCAGCTGCTTGAGACGGCCATAACATCACCAACAGGTAAGTTTGGCCGTTTTTCAAGTTCTTATTTCCTTGGTGGTAGACACCACCATTGTTCGCTGTGGAACCTTCAACAAGCTTAGTCACCCAATCAACCAAGCTGGCTTCCCTGTCACAGACAGCCCAAAGGTTTGCTGAATAAGGTTTGATGAGCCACAAGATTTTGCGGGCCCTGCGGAGAATCCCAGCACTTCCAAGCCGCAGGTGCCGAGCAAACAGTGGAACACCCGCTGAATGCCGTCCGTCCAGGCCCTGCAGGACGGCGGCGACAGCACCGTGAGGTGAACCTCGAGGCCCACTTTCGTCGTCCCAGGGTCGCACCACACACTGAACAAGGTCCCGAGTAAGGTGTCGGAATGGCTCCTAACCTTTTTGGTGTTGAGAATAGCCTTTTTGCGTCGCCCGCTCATCTTACCTTAGGACGCAGCACGGGAGGTGCCGTCGACGGCAAGCGCTGTCCATCAACGTCCCGTCTCCCGGCCCATCCTAAGAACTACATCTTTCGGCCGCCTCGTGCTCCGACCTGCACTTTTGACCCGAACATGTCGTGAGCCCGCGACTCCTTTACTCAGCTGAACGCGCTTTGAAGAACAACTTATGCGACCATGGGTCTCGGCGTTTTAGAATCAAAGTCCCTGGACCATGTTCCAGGTGAGTCCAACTCCAATTTGTGCTTCAACCACCCGCTCTGTCCTCCTGTCATCCCAAAACTGACGCTGTCAATCCGCTCAAAAGGCACGACGCGCTACTTCGACGACCCCGACCGCCCACAGGCTGCGACCAACGCTCATCACGGATTGAAGGTCGATAACAGCGGAGATGTTCCCATTATTTTGGTGAGCTACTACTTCAGGGACCACATCGCGACCCGCCACCCCCCGCTGACAGCCCTCCCCTCCAGATTCCCCAGCCCTCCGACGACCCGAACGACCCCCTCAATTGGCCACTCTGGAAGCGTGACCTCATCACCTTTGTTCTGTCCATAACCGCCATCTTTGCCACGGCTCTGGGTCCTATTCTCGCTGCAAACACCGTTACCATCGCGCTCCTCTTCCGCAAGAGCTTCACGTCCATCGCGCTATTGACGGGCTACTTCCTCCTTGGAGTAGGCGCCGCTGCTATCTTCTTCGTGCCCTCAGGACGTGTATGGGGGAAGCGCCATCTTTTCATCCTGGGAATATGCATCCTCATCGGGTCGTCCGCCTGGGCCGGCGCTGTCGGCACCAACTACAACTCTCTCCTTGGCGCCCGTGTCGTCCAGGGCATCGGCTGTGCTCCGTTCGAGACCCTTGTCAACGCTGCTGTCGGTGATTTGTACTTCGTACATCAGCGTGGCTCGCGCATGGCCTTCACCAACTTGGCCGTTTTCGGCGGTGCCTTCTTCACACCCATCGTCGTTGGGAAAATTACCCACAGCATCGGCTGGTGGTGGACCTTCTACCTGGAAGCCATCTTCTGCGCCATCATGCTGCCTGCCGTCTTCTTCCTGTGCCCCGAGACGGCCTATCGTCGCGACGCTGCTCTCAACACCGACATGGTAGCCAACACCAGTGACCACGAGATGAAGAATCTGGATATGAACCACGGTCATGATAAGAATTCTGCCGATACGACGACGCTTGTGCCTGGCATGGCCTCCAACTATGGCGCAGACATTCCCGAGAAGACATTTATGCAATCGCTCAGTCTCTTTGATGGCCGCAAAACTGATGAAAGCTACTGGAAATTGCTTTTGCGCCCGTTTCCACTGTTCGCTCAGCCAGCGTTCCTCTGGGGCTGCCTCGTTCAGGGAACCATGATCGGTTGGACGGTCTTCATCGGAGTCATCGTTGCCGCCATTTTCCTCGGACCCCCTTACTACTGGAATGAGGTGTACGCCGGTTACGCCTATGTGGGTGCTTTCATCGGAGCTCTCGTGGGATTCATTATCGCAGGTGTCTTTTCCGACTGGAGCGCCAAGTTCATGACTCGGCGCAACAATGGCATCTACGAGCCGGAGTTTCGCATCGTCATGGTGCTCCCAATGTTCATCATTGGGGGCATCGGCCTGTACGGCTTCGGTATCACCTCTGCAGGACTTATCAGCAAGGAATTCCACTACAGCATTCCTCTTGTCTTCTTCGGTTTTGAGGTCGCTGGCATGGTAATTGGCGCTGTGGCCAGCTCCCTCTACATTGTTGACGCCTACCGTGATCTCGCCATCGAAGGCTTCACTTGCATGATTATCTTCAAGAACATCTTCAGCTTTGGACTGACATACAGCGCCTACGACTGGATCATTGCCGGTGGCACCAAGCGCACGATGATCGCTATTGCCAGCGTGCAGGTTGTCGTCTGCGCAACGAGCATTCCAATGTGTAAGTGCCATCTTAGCCCAACCTTTTAAACCATGAACTGACGAGGATGCAGATATTTATGGAAAGCGTGTTCGTGCCTACTTCCACCAACACGACCTGCTCAAGTTGACTGGCCTTCGCTGAAAAGCCGGGCAATTTCCTGAGATTGATCTACTTCTACATATTTATTCACAAATGGGGCACTCTCTGCCCAAGACAGGGCGTTGTTTAGTTAGTGCTTTGGCACACGCATCTACCCGTCACCTAAGATAGCTTCACGCCTTCGCGCGTTGACCAGAGACCGTACATTAGTACCATAGTAATGCTAGTTTCTCTAATTTACTTCAATATGCTATAGCTAGGCCTGTTTTGTATGAGCAAGAGTATGGAATCACCAAGAGCCAGCCACCGACAGGTTCGTCCCGGGCAGAACCATCACGGAGGGTCTCCCTCAAGGACGGCCGGTCGGTTGGTCTCTTCGTGCATGTATGGCAGTAGCAAGCGGGAGTGGATCTGATTTGGAGCTTCGAGAGCTATTCGTACCTGACCAAGCCCATCCCTATCCTGGCCCCTCCATCCAGAAACAAGGTCCGCTCCGTGCCGCAGAGGCTGACCATCCGCCACACCACACTGGATGTTTCCTCAACCCCTCACAAAACACAGAGCATCAATCAGATTCCGCAGTGGCATGTCTTGCTCGGCCTATGAATCCCCTCTCTTCTCCCCTCTCCACCAGCGCGGGCCAGCGCCCCTCCAATCCACATGCCCATCTCTGCACAGTCCCCAATTCCGTCCAGTCACACAAATCCACGACATACAACGAAGGCAGCTAATCACATGTGATGACGGAGCTCGCGCCTTACTCTTGGGCAATGGAGAATAGCAGCAGATCCGCTGAAAAGGAAAAAAAAATATTTCTCACACGTTTCCCCGGGTATAACTATGCTACGCTATGTTGGGTGTGTGCGCACGCGCTGTGTGTGTAGTGTTGACAGAGAGAGTGTATGTGTATCTGCAAATTCCCTACTCCTTTGGCCTCCTTCAAGGTCCGTATGCTAGTAATCCTGAGCCTCCGCAAGCAATGCACTGAACTTCCGATCCCAAGGAGATGATACAATCCGACAGTATATGTTTCATGGTTTTTGGTTCTTTCTCACACGCTTAGAAAAAGGCGTCGCAACAATAATTTGGCCGTTTCTTGGTAAGATGGATTGGGGGTATGTGTCGCTGATGTCGTGGGAAGAAATATACTGAAGATAAATAGCAGAAAAAATCAAGACAAGAGTCAAAATCAAAATCAAAATAAAACACATCGCACGCTTTCGTCACTCGGTAACATCCATTCATACAGACATGTCGTATCATCCAGTCCACTTCCGCCACCAACTGCTGCGGGGCGTGGCATCGGAGAACATGGCCTGCCGACGGCGCTCATCACTACCTTCGGAGCCGCCGCCGGCACCGCCGCTGCCGCCGCCGCCAGCATATCGCCGCTCACGCTCTTCACGACGGGCTTTGCGGCGGCGATCGTCAGCCTCGTCGGCGGTACCTTCTTCGTACCGGGCCCGACGACGGCGTTCTCGTCGCTCGCGGCGCATCTCGTCCTCTGTCATCGGGATGGCCTCCGCCTGACCACCGTCTTCCGGGGGAGGGCCTGCATCGGTATGCTCCTTGACCCACGATGAGGTACCGGAATGAGGCCAGGCGGGCTTCATTTCCTCGTCACGCCTGTATCTATGGCGGGACGAGGCGAGGCCTTCGTCACCGGATTCTCGGGTGGACCGCCTGCGACTACCGCGATGGCGGACTTCTTCGCCATCCGTCTCCGCGGCGGCGCGAGCAGCACGTCGTTCTTCCCGCCTGATTCTTCGGGCCTCGTCTTCGTCGATCGCTGCCGCGTCGCGCTCCTCGCGGGCACGGCGGCGTTCTTCTCGGGCCGCTCTCCTGGCCTCCGCGTCTGCCTCTGCAGCGGCGGCAGCCTCACGTTCTTTGCGACGACGTCGTCGCTCAGCTCGCTCAGCCTCGCGGTCATCCGCAGCTCTGCGCTCTTCCTCTTCGCGCTGGCGTGCTGCGCGGCGCTCTGCGCGTCTGGCTTCCTTTTCATCGCGGCGGCGAGCTTCCGCGTCATCTTCTTCTCGCCGACGACGACGCTCACGTCTTGCCTCGTCTTTGGCACGTCGAGCCTCATCCTCATCTTGCTCGACAATACCAGCAGCCTCAGCTTCCCGTGCGGCACGGCGGGCGCGACGAGCAGCGCGACGCGCCTCCTGGTCCATGTCCGTCATTGCTACGGCTTCCGCCTCTTCAGCGTCAGCAGCGGACCCCTTGCGGCGGTGCTGCCGTCTGGTGTCATCGTCGGTTGCATATGTATGTCGCCTGCGCGGTGGCTCTGGGCGGTCCGGCTTGGGTGTTCTTAGGCCGAACAGACCACCAAGGCCCTTCTTGGCACTTGAGCTGGATCGCTTCATGGGTGGCGGCTCAGGAACATCGGGCGTCGCGAAATCATCAGGATATCTTTGACGTCGGCGGGAGGACTTTGGGGGGCTGATGTCTTCCCCATCCCCATTTGCTCCCATCATGACAACGTCTTCGTCGCGCCTGCGACGCCGACTGCTGGATTTATCGACGCCGAGCACTTTGGCCGCCTTGGAGGACATCGGGGGCGCTTCCTCTGGAGGCGGGGACATCAAGCCACTGGCATCAACCGAGTGTCGACGCGACGGATGTCCGGACCCAAGCCGCCGATCCCGAGTGGAGGTTGAGCGAGAAATGGGTGGCGTGCTAAACATGGACGTCAGCTTCGGCCGTGCTGGCGCCGGCGCTTCGACGGAACGGTCGGCCTTATCGGAGCTCGAGCCCTTGGAAGAGCTCTTGGTCCCCTGTTTTTCCGCAGAAGCGTGTTTTCTCTCCCGCCTCTCGGACTTGGACTTCCTTTCCCTGTCGCGATCACGGTCACGGTCACGATCACGATCACGATCTCGGTCCCGGTCTCCGTCCTTGTCACGAGAGTTGGAAGCCGCCCACGTGCCCCACGAACCGGAACCCTCGCGGCTAATCTTGGTTCGGTCTTTCCTGGAAGATTTTGGCTCAGGAGGAGAAACAACCTCGATCTCCTCGGCAGGAGGCTGTTCTTCAGGCTCTTCCACTTCGGGGTCTTCAACCACTTCAGGATCTTGAGGCTCTTCCGGCTCGTCGACAGGAGGCGCTTCGGGCACTGCAGGAGGAGGTGGCGGCGCCGGAGGCGGGGGTATATCCTCGGCGAGAAGGTACTTGTCCTTGTTCTTCTTCTTCTTCTTTTTCTTCTCCACAGGCGGCGCCTCAATTACCTCAATGATTTCGTTCTCGTCCTCTTCGGCAGGAAACGCGCCAGGAGGTTCTGAGGACTTGTTCTCGTCAGCGTCAGCGTCAACTACGACCGGTTCCTCAGCTTCAGGATCTGGTTCAGGTTCAGGCGGCGGCGGCGGCGGAGGTGGTGGTGCGGCTGCTGCTTCAGCTTCGAGGCGCTTCTTCTCCTTCCTCAGTCGCTTTCTTTCCTCCTTCGTCAGCGGAGGCGGAGGGACTGGCTCCGGTTCTGGTTCGGGTTCCGGCTCTGGTTCCGGCTCCGGCTCCGGCTCAGGCTCTTCTTCGACAATTGGTTCCGGCTCGTCCTCTGGTTCTTCTGGCGGCGGCGATGGCGGTTTGGCTTCGAATGCTTTCAATCTGTCAGCGATCTTGCTTCCCTTAGCCTTACGAGCCGTAGACGGTTGCATCCAGGTCGAGGCGTCGTTGCTTATGGCGGAAGACGTGTTGTTGTCATTCCAATCGTTGCTCGCACCTTCTAAACAAAGAGGAGTCAGCACTGTAACACGGTGGGATGCATCTCATTTCAATAGTCTCGATGAGGCTTGGTGGTGTGCTGGAGTGGTGTGAAGGGGAAATTGGGGGTTGCCTGAGGCCACTTACCATTTTTGGACGCTTTCTTGCCGCCAAGTCCCCAGAAACTGAAGGCATCGAAGGCAGCCTTGGGTTGCAGAATTGGCGGTGATACCGGAGGCGGAGGTGGTGAAGCGGGTTCGGCATCGGCCAGAAGCTCCTCCACTTGCTCCTCGGTGAGTTCAATGTCGCCAAGCTCGTCGTCCTTGTCGATGTCGTCGATGACATCTTCAGGCTCCTCCTCCTCCTGCTCAACTTCCTCTTCTTCTACCTTTGCCTTTTCCTTGTCCTTATCCTTCTTGTCTTTCTTATCCTTCTTTTTGTCCTTCTTATCCTTCTTTTCCCTCTCTTTCTCTTTCTCCCTTTCCCTCTCCCTCTCCCTCTCTTTCTCCTTCTCCTTTTCCCTAGACTTGGACTTGGACTTGGATTCCTTCTCCGACTTGGAACTCTTCTTGGACTTCTTGGCCGCTTCCTCGGCCTCCTCTCGCTCTCGGGCTGCCTCTTCCTCGGCCTCCTTAGCCGCGGCTTCCTCGGCCTCCCTGGCGGCTTGCTCTTCAGCCTCTTGAGCTAGGCGCTCTTCCTCCTCGATGCGGGCAGCCTCTTCAGCTTCTGCGGCAGCTGCAGCTTCCGCTTCCGCGGCCGCTTGGTCCGCATTCCGTTGGTCGATGGCCTCCTTCAACCGATCGTAGGCTGCTTGATCTTTTTTCGTCAATTTGCCCTTTTTGAGCTTCTTAGCCTCCAGAGCCGCAAAAAGGTCTTCTTCTTCGGCGATCCTTGCCGCCTCCGCCGCAGCTTTCTCGGCTTCCTCCTCCTCAATGCGAGCTTTCTCGGCAGCTTCTTCTTCCTCAATCCGGGCTTTCTCGGCAGCTTCGGCAGCGGCGGCCTCTTCCGCTTCTTGAGCAAGGCGCTCCTCCTCTTCCCTGGCGGCTTGCTCGGCGGCTTCTTCCTCTTCTCTCGCCTTCCGCGCGGCCTCCTCCTTCTCGGCCTTCTTCTTCTCCTTTTCAAGCTTCTTCAGCTCCTTCTCGCTCAGCTTGGGCTCTTTCTTGGGCTTCTCCTTGTCCTTGTCCTTTTCTTTGTCCTTAGACTTGGACTTGGATGAAGTCAAGTCACCCCAGAAGCTGGATTTGTCTGGTTCTGGTTCTGCTTCAGGCTCAGTCAGGTCCATTGTGGGAGGGGTAGGAGCTGGCGGTGGAGGGTCGGCAAGTCTGTCCTTACGGTTCTTGTTCTTCTTCTTCGAGGAACCCCAGGCGGCCCAGTCATCGTCGTCGCCTTTATCCTTGGTTTCCTCGACGGAATCTGGCTGCATAAAATCCAGGCTTGGCTCTTCGTCCATGACTTCCACGGGCTCGTTGTTAGACTTGTCCTTCTTCTTCTTCTTCTTGGACGACGTGCCCCAGATATCGTCCACCGGCTCCTCAATAGCGTCCGGTTTCATGGAGGCCTCGATTTCAGCGTCACCCTTCTTCTTCTTGTCTTTCTTACCACCAGTCATCCAAGAGCTGAAGAAGCCGTCGCCACCAGTGTCTTCGAGCGGATCAGAAACATCGGGAACAGCAGGAGGTGCCTCTTCTGCGGGGGTTGGCTCGTCTTCCTCAAGTTGAACCAGGGCCATGGCATCGTCCTTCTTCTTCTTCTTTTTGTCCTTCTTCTGGCCCCAATCGGCCCAGTCATCCTCGGCCGGAGGCTCTTCTGCGGGTGTAACTTCTTTGCTCTTCTTCTTCTTCTCTTTATCCTTCTCTTTCTCTTTATCCTTCTCCTTTTCCTTTTCCTTATCTTTCTTAGAAGAGCCCCAGATGCCCCAGGAGTCTGACGCTTTTTCCTCGGCCTCTTTCTTCTTCTTCTTGTCCTTCTTAGAGTCAAGACCGGTGAAGAAATCGTCATCGTCCTTCTTCTCGCTCTTGGCTGACTCGGGCTCTGCCTCAGCTTCTGCAGCTTTCTTCTTTTTCTTATCCTTCTTAGAAAGGCCAAAGCCCCAGTCGTCCTCAACAGCGGGCTCTGGCTCCGGCTCCGGCTCTGCCTCTGGTTCAGGAGTAGGTGGGTCAGGAGCTGGCTCGGGAACAGGTTCCGGTTCAGGTTCCGCAAGCTTGCCCTTCTTCTTCTTCTTGTCTTTCTTGGTGGTTATGCTAGCCCAGAAGTCGTCTTCTGCTGGTTTTTCGGGTTCGGGCTCGGGTTCAGGCTCGGGTTCAGGCTCAGGTTCCGGTTCCTTTGGCGGCTCTGGATCGGCAAGAAGTCCCTTTTTCTTCTTCTTCTTATCAGTCTTAGATAACCCAGCGAAGCTCCAAGGGTCGTCCTTCTTCTCCGGCTCTGGTTCAGGCTCAGGCACAGGTTCCGGTTCAGGCTCCGGTTCAGGCTCTGGAGGGGGTTCCGGCTCGGCAAGAAGGCCCTTCTTCTTCTTTTTGTCGGTCTTTGACAAGCTCGCGAAACTCCAGGGATCGTTTTTCTTCTCCGGTTCTGGCTCGGGCTCAGGAGCTGGAGGTGGTGGTGGAGGCAAGGGTTCGGGTTCGGGCTCAGGTTCACTCTTCCCTTTCTTCTTTTTCTTGCTCTTTGTGGCGATGCCCCATCCGGTATCATCAACTGGGTCGGGTTCCGGCGCTGGCTCCGGCTCCGGTTCCGGAATTGGATCTGGTTCTTTCGCAGCCTCGGCCTCGGCGGCGTCAGCAGCGGCTTGTTCCGCGGCCAGTGCTGCTGCCGCCATCTCGGCCTTCTTCTTCTTCTTCTGCGTTTTTGATAAGCCAGCAAATGGGTCTTCTTCCACCTTTGGAGGTTCTGGCTCGGGCTCCGGTACCGGTTCTGGCTCTGGCTCTGGTTCGGGCTCTGGTTCGGGCTCTGGCTCAGCAAGCAGACCTTTCTTCTTCTTCTTTTTGTCCGTCTTGCTTGGTGGCGTCCCCCAGCTCCATGGGTCAGCTGCCGCCGCTGGAGGAGGATCTGGAGCAGGTTCAGGGATGAACTGTGGTGGTTCAGGCTCCTCCTTTGCCTTTTTATTATTCATGCCCCAGGAGTCCCATATGTCATCTTGCTTGGGAGGATCCGGAACCGGTTCCGGTTCTGGGTCAAGAAGTAGGCCTTTCTTCTTCTTCTTCTTTTCCGTCTTGGAAAGAGGAGTTGAAAGTGCCCAAGGGTCGTCCTTCTTCTCTGGCTCTGGTTCTGGTTCTGGTTCCTTTGGTGGCTCCGGGTCGGCCTTGCCCTTCTTCTTACCTGTAGTGCCCCATCCCCATGGATCGTCGGCTGGTGGTTCTTCCTTCTTTTCTTCTGGTAAAGGATCCCAGATATTGGTCTTCTTCTTCGTCTTCTTATCCTTCTTAGAAGTCGCAAAAGAGCCCCATGGGTCCTCCTCCTCCTTCCTCTCAGGTTCGGGGGCAGGCGGGGGAGGTGTTGGCTCGGGCTCGGCCTTCTCGTCGCCAAAACTGAATCCCAGACTATTCAGCTTCTTCTTTGGTTTTGCAGTGCTGAGGCCCCAAGGGTTTGCGTCTTCCTTTTCAGTAGAGACCGCTGAAACCGGGCTTTTACTCCCCCAATTCAGACCCCAAGAGCTGGCAAGTCCGGCGCCCCACGTACCCAGTCCTCCACCAACACCCAAGCCGCCAAGACCTCCTGGTTTGTTGCCGTTGCCGTTGCCGTTGCTATTGCTGTTGCTGTTGGTATTACTGTTCGTTGTACCAAAATTTAGATCAAGTCCGCCGCCGTTGCCGCCACCTCCGTGATCGTCTAGTTTGATGTCTTGGAAGGAGTCCATGGGAATCGACGGGGCATCATCGGCAATGCCCTTCTTGGTTTTCTTCTTGGTCTTTGTGGCCGCAAAACCCCAACCGTCGTCTTCTGGGGGCGGTTCTTCGGCAGGCGGTGTTGGCTTGTCCTTGTCCTTGTCACCGCCGTCGCCATCGCCAGCCGCACCACCATCGTCCTTGGGCGCTTCGCCTCCCTGGTCACCTCCGTCTCCGGCGCCTTCATCGTCCTTCTTAGCGTCGTCATCATTACTATTGTTCGTCGGAGCCTTGGCAGGGGCCTTCTTTTTCTTCTTTGCCGCCTGCATGAAACCTTCCTCCGAACCAAAGTCGATGAGGAAATCGTGCGTCGGATCTCGAAAGATGGAATCCTTGCCGCGCCGCTCCCGTATGTCTGTGCTCGAGGCTTGAGGTCGGACGAAGAATGAGAAGTCTGAGGGTTGTCGGTTTGCGAATCCGCCAGAGCCCGTCGGGTCCATGACTTGTTCTGATGATTCAGATGCTTCGGATGGTGGGTTTACATGTCGTGACCATCGCGGACCGTAATCTGGTACTTTCAGCGGGCTCGAGGTGCTGGTGTTGATTCTGATGGTTCGGCGATAGGATGAGGTCTAGGAATGTCAGCGGATCAGCTTAGTCTACATGTTCATCTGATGACTGAGGCGTGTTAGTGGAATGCGGGAAGGGGGGGTAAGGCGGCATGCGCTGAGCAGCCCCCCCCTCCCCTCTCCGATTCCCCCGTTGGACTCGTAAGTTTCTCCAAACGGCTACGGCGCTGGTAGCCGTTGGGTTTAAACCGAACTTTGGAGGCGTCGGCGCTGGAACGACGCCGTCGCCCACAAATTTGGAGCAAAAACAATGACGAAGGACGAAAATGATTCGGGTCATACCTGTGGTTTTTGCCAGGCGGTTTCCCATGCGCAGGCGATGATGCGCAAGCGAACGCGTACATCTTCTTCATCCCAGCTAGTCCTCGAGTGCTGTGTTGTTCTCCAACAATGGGCGTCGTTTGCCCAGTTTCCTGGAAAGGACGCCGAAACCGTGGCCGCAGCCATGTTGGGAATTGTTGCTCGTGGTGCAGCTTCCTGTGCGAAAAATCATGGAAGCTGAGCCGGCTTTTGGAGGAATCGATGAAGATGAAGATGGGCACGTGGGAAGGTGGTCGCTGTCGTCGTTTCGTTTTCGTTGGAGGGGTATCGGTGAGGGGCAGCGGTTTGCGCACGCGGAAGTATGAGGCAGGCAATCGCAGCGATGAAACGGAAGACGGGTTGGTTGTGCGAGGGGAGAGTCTGCAGATGTGCGGTCTCAGGGATTCGTATGACCGGAGCGAAGTGAGACTGGAACAGAGGTTGCGCAAGTTAGTAAAGTTGTTTGTGATTGTGACTGAGGTGGTGGAATTATCCGTAAATGCGCGGGCTGGGGGGAGATCGGCTCGGCTGGCAAAAAAAGGGACGGGGGCCGCTACGCGCAGCGCAGCATGGCGCCAGGGTCCTGGGAGGGAGGTGAGGGACGGGAATGGAATGAAAGAATGACGGAGGAGAGGTGCCACAGGGCGAAATAGTAATACCTCAGAAGTCCAGGTCGCCGGCCGCTTCACTTGTCCCTACCTAGGTACCTAATAAGTAAGTAGTTGGTTAATTACCTACCTTATGCTACCAAGCAGCCCAGGCTAAAGATAGGTAGGCTGGAGAATGCCTTCTGTGGTCGATAACGAGCCAGTTGTGAGCGATAGCAGGGATGGAGCTTTTGGTGTTACACCTCAAAAGACGGCCGTCGCCACTGTTTCGCTCGCCAAAAAGTGCCAGTCTGACCGCGCTGAAAGAAGTCAATTCGTCGTTCAAGTCTCTTTTTTTTTCCTTCTTGCTCTCGTCTAACACTCTCAGTGGCTCTCCTATCTTCTTCCTCGTGAGCCTCTCTGACTGACTGAGGGAGGTGAGGTCGAGTCATATAGGAGAAGAAACGGAGCAATAGGAAGGCTGGAGACGGTCCGGAAAGAAGATTCTTACAAGCCACTTGCTGCACAGGGAGCCAATGGCCCGTCGCGTCGTTGCTGGATCGTCGCGGCGAGGCGAATTGGAGGATGACAATGTTGCAGACCGCCAGTATCTTGCAGCACCACGCACGCAGGCAACACACCCGCTGGTGCTGGGAGGAGGCTTTTGTCTGGCTCGGTGCCGGATATCGTAGGCCTGCACGTCGAGTTGAACGGATGACTTCGTCGTTGGTCAGGGTTGAAACGATGCAATGCGTAGGATTCGGGGTCGTAACGCATGCGCCGCCGGCGTTGGTCGATGATGGGACTGCGCTGTCTTCCCTTCCCCTCCTGCTCTGCGCGTCTTGTTGTTCTGTCCAGGAGCCTCGTCGTGCCATGCAACAGAGCCAGAAAGGGACACCGTCAAAGCAGGGGTGGATCAAATGAATGCTGGTGGTGCCGTCCAGTCGTCGTGAAGATTATGAAGGCTTGTTGATGTACGAGAGGAGGAGGAAACTCCCTTGATCAGCAGGAGCCATACATAGCATGAAGCAAGTTGAGGTAAGGTAAGGTATGTCGGAGTAATAATTATGGATATGGATGCTGGATGTACGTCGTTGCGATCCATCTGCCCAGCCATCCGTCCTATCACGTCCAATCCGAATCATCAATGAGTGAGTCTCCTCTGCTGTCTCCCGGCTGTTGCTCCTCAGCGTCGTCCCGCTCCCCTCGCATGGCCCATCATCCATGATACCAAGCACTGCATACAGTAGATGCGAGGAGGGAGGTGCCACAGTCGGCAAGAGCGCAACGAGCGACTCGTCCGCCAGAGGGTGTTCATCCCTGGCATCTGGGCGGGTGGAAGGGCGGGCCCGGCGATTCATTGGCTGCACAAGTGTGATGTAGTCCCTGCAAGTCCCGTCTTTTGACTCGATTCACACCACTTCGGGGGGCCCCCCTCCCCTCCCATCCAGCCTGCCGCCCAGGTGATGCCTCTTCTCCAGGATCCCATCTGCTTCAAGTGGGCGACCATTCGGGCAGCACACACCACACCACACACACGCACCACTAGTACACTGCGGGAGTGGAACACAAAACCAAGGTCAGGAGGTTATCATCGATGCCTCTCTCAAGTTCCTGTAATGACAGACAGTAGGGTACCTTACCTTTACTTAGACAAGCAGACGGGTTGTGACGATGGCCCACGAGCTAGTTCGCGAAAAGAGCCGAGGGGACGATGGCCGGAGGGGACGACACAACGACCAACGCCCTTGCCGCGCCCTCGCCTGTCTGCCACTTCACTTTCTTTCCTACCTTACCCAGACAGGGTACCCCAATGCCACCTGCTCTTGGGCCGGTATCCGCATCTTAATTGCTTCTGACTGTCGTCTCTGGACTTCGGTTCCTAGACTAAGCAACAAGCTGGACCCTACCTTACCCAATGCACGCAACGGCTGGTTATTCCAACCTTCTTCCCTGCGACGGGCAGTGAGCTGTCAGCACCGTGTCTTGGGTTGTCGCTGCAACACTTGTTTGTTGCCCTCCTCAGCACTGCGATGTTCCATGTTGCTCATCATGACGCCTCACGTTACACTCTCATCAACCCCTCCAAAAGGAGCCCGCCAGCCCAAGAGAAAAAGCCGCACACACAGAAAGCAATTGTGTATCACGGCCCCCACCAGTCGACAGTCAACGGTCACTTCCCTTCTAGCTGACTGGAAATCCGTTTCACTCGCCGACAGCGCTCAATTGGCGGAAATACATGCCTCTCCAGCCACCTCGCCGCGCTCCCCCATGTACAGTGCCGTGGCAAAAAAAACGACACAATCCGGAAATCGCCGAAAAAAGCCCGCTCACGTCGACCTAGCAACGAGGATCAAAAAAAATCCCAGAAATACACTTTTTGCTATAATTACCTCAAAAAAACATCAGAAAATTTATTAATTAATTCTATATTAGGTTGAGATTATCTAGTACTTTATATACTATCCCTTAGCGTTAATAATAGGTTAAATCTATCTTAGTATTTATTTTAATAGGTTATTAACTATTTTTTATTTAATATTAAGCTAGTACTTTTCTACTACTTTAACTAAATAATTAAGAAACTCTTTATTGCTCTTCTATATTTCTAAGCTTAGCTTAGCCTTATAAACCTACTATTTAAGGACTTTTTATAAATTTTTAATAAGTTTAAGATTTAAGCTATATAAAAGCTAGTTAATTATTTAAAACGCTTATATATTAAGCTATACTATTACCTTTTTTACTATATAGATAGAGGTATTATCTTATATAAATATATAGAATAAAGAGTAGAGGTCTAGAAAATTCTCTGAAAGTAGTTTAAAGTATAGATTTATAATATAGCCCTTCTTTTTAGTATTTAGATTACGTATTATAGTTACTAGAAAGGTTTTTTTGCTATACTAAATACTAGCTTAGAATATCTATAAATAGTATATTTATTTAATATAAGGTTATATATACTTAATATTAAGTTACTTATCCCCTATTTAGATTAAAAAGTAAGTAAAATATACTTATAGTAGTTAAGTAATTAGAATAAATATGAAGAAAGTATAATAGATTATTATAGAGCTAAATATATACTTAGCGCTAGTTATAGCTATATTTAACTAAGCACTTATTAGTAAAGTAAAAATATTTCTACTAACTTACTAGCTTCTTATATATCTTTAAATACTGTATAAGACGTCTTATTATACTTTCTTTAGATAATTAGAGGTATTATAGTGCTACTTTATAAATAATACCCTACTTAAGAAGCTATTATTAAATAGTCTACTTAGAGATAGTTAGAGTAATAAATTTAATTAGATTATATGCTAAGATAAAAAGGTTATAAGAGATTAACTATAATATATATCTTCTTATAATAGGAGTAATTAGTAGTAGCTACCTTAAGCGTATATTTAATCTAGTAGATATTTAATACTAGTATTAATACGTAATACTATTTACTATATACTACGTTAAACCTATCCTAGTAGCTATATTACGCGCTAAAATACCTGTAAAGCGTAGGGTTATAATAACTGTTTGTTTATAAGGCGACTAGTGTTTTTTCTGATTTTTTTAAGGGCTAGGGGTTAAGGGGGATATTTTCGTAGTATGTAGAGGGTAGGGTGGTTAACGCGTAAAGTGGTGGCGCGAGAGAAAGTGTGTCGTTTTTTTTTACAGCCCTACTGTACCTACACGCCCACATCCACCCGCTAAGCATGGGCACCATGGAGAAGTGAGATGCCTCACACACTCCATACGCGCAGAGCTCGTCGTAGTCGGATACGTACGGGCACATCACTGCCATGTTGATGACAAGCAGCTTCTGCCATGCAGGCGAGTCTTCACACACCTATGTATGGCATACGAACCAACGCTATTGCCATTGTCTCTGGGCCGTGGCGGCGGAAGCGGGACGAGGCTTGCAAGGGCAAGGAAACTGAGGGAGATGCCGTCGCTCATGGAGACGTTGCCATGCGGACGACGGCTCGGCCAGCATGCTAGCTAGCATCGACGTTGATGCACCAAGCCGCACACGATGAGGTATCGATACATGGACAACTGGGCAGCCATGCACCTGCGACCGTGGGATGACATCCGCTGGGGGTTGTATTCGTACCTGTTCGCACGGCGACATCCTGTCGGGGCTCCTGGCCAGTCTTCCCACGCCGCCGGAGCCCCATTTGGCATCTGTACGATGGACGAATGTCCTCTCGAGCCAGCGCCAGACCTGCGTCTGAATGGGTGTACTTGCAGCGCCGCTGGCTGCGCATCGGGAACTAACAGGGCCTTCATGCACACCCAAGTCTGGGCCTGTCTTGCGATGCAGGCGACACTCCTGTACTGAATCGTCTTGTCTGCCACTCATCCCACGATAATCGCCCAAAGAGGCATGGCGTGTCCTTCACCGCTTCAACATCTCAAACCACGCTGGCCGAATTCGCACCAACCAGCCACGCCGAATCGCCAAGTCTACACTTTGGACGCGACGGTGGAGAAGAAATTTCAATTTCCTCCCCCTTCTCACCGTCAATGGACACAATGAGTGCGGATATGAAGAAAGTCATTGTCCTTGAGACATGAGACATGTCATTTTGAGCGCAAGAAATGTGGTAACCCGCTCCGTGCAGCCGAGTTGGCGACGTCCTTGTGTATAGCAGACAACCCTCTCACGTTGGTTTCCACAGCTTCAGCAACAGCCTGATAGCTTGACTGCAGGCAGCTCAACCGATCATTGCCACACAGACATGAGCCCATGGATGCTCCTCGGATGAACTTTGAGTGTGATGTTGCGGCTCTTTCTGGCGGTCAGACCTGAGCCGAGAAAACGGCGAAGGCAACTTTCTGCTTCGTACCTAACCTCTGTTCAGGTTGAAACTATGGGTCGATGGGGAAGACAACTCAGCAAGTGCAGCATCACCGACTTAGCTAGCTGCAGACTGCAATTGACCTCCACAAGAATCATGTCGACAACTTTTCGAATGGAGCCCGGAGTTTAATGACTCCAGCTGCAAGAAAGCTCTCCATTCCATGACGAGCATCAAGTCATCGATCCCCCAGATTACTTGGCTGTTTACCTAGCGGTCTCGAGGAAAGGGCATGTAAATCATGTTCGCGTTTAGGGATCAGAGGGTCCGCCGTGACCACAGTTCATGGCGCCCCGTTATTGAGATGCCTAACGCGGCCTCGTCCCATGCGCGTTCATGTCTCAAGTCGTTGGTTTAGAGGGTGACAAAGAGCACCGGTGGCTTGGAAGAAAGAAGTCTTGGACGAGACAAATCTGGGGTTGGAACTCGGGACGAGCCCGACGGCCCTTGCTTGTGACCGTGACCTTGACCGTAACCGTACCCGTTCGAAGGGGCCGTGAAGAAGAAGGATTGTTCCGCTTCCGCCGCCGGCCGGAACACGACCTACGGATACCAAGCCGCAAGAGCAACGACCCTGCATCCCCGAGTGAAAGTGACGGTGGATAAGAGATAGCTCCCCGCGGAGCCGAGGTGAGGATGAGGTCCGGTTCGGTCAGCCTCAGCAAGCGCAGCCACAGCCACCGCCATCTCACGCCCCCCGGAGCTCCCGCCACGGGCGCAGTCACCAATTGCGGTCCCCCAGTGGAAGTGCCGACTCAGGGTCCAAGATCGGCCTGTCGTTTATCCCAGCTTGCGCCTCCCCCAAACATGGACGTTACCATAGGGCTCATTCCGAGGCACTGGCTCCTCCTCCAGGGGTTAAAATTAGTATCACAGGCTGTTTCAGCGTCTCTTCTCAGTCAACGTCGAGTATCAAGCTTGCTGCGAAATGTCATCCATTCGCCCTCAATGTCACTGAGGAGAATCGCTTCAAAATCTCACCCAATGCGCCGCGAGCCAATGCCTTCCTTCCCTTCCTTGGTGGGTGTAAGTCAGCCAGGCACTAACTGCAATTGAGTGCAACCGACTGCTAGCATCGGCAGAGCTGCCATCCGTGTTTGCGTCGGTTTGCATATGCTTGTCGACTTGCACGCGCCGCCTCCATCCTTCGGGTGACGTCGATGGTTTAGTGCCGCAGCAGGGCAAGGTCCATGCGACACTATGTCGGCATCAGGTGCACCCTTTCCTCTGCTCTTTGTTTTGGCGTTGACAACCCCTCCCCCCTCCCAAGGAGGACGTGCCATCAGACGAAACAAAAGATGCTGGCCCCCTTCGCTCATACCGTTCCTGCCTGCTGGAAAGGCAATTCAACCGTCAGTCAGGACAAGGTTCTTTCCCGGCCGCTTACACTCTGTTGGAGACAAACCACGCGGGAACCCCGCTGATCCTCGGACTACAGGGAAGGAAGCTGACTTGATCTCGACTTCACCTCGCCCTTCAGCTCGATAGTCTGTTGCCATCAGACGTTGTTCTTCTCTATCTCTATCCAGCTCTCGCTTTCGAGCCCGAGTACACTTGGGGCCATCGGTTCAACACCCCCAGCAGCTCCTCCGAGATCACCACCGGGAAACCCATCCGCCACCATGCCCGCTCACCACAATCTCACAATACGCATCCCGCTCCCCAGCATGTTACCGGCGGAGGCCGTCATCGAGACTCTCCAATCGCAGTCTCCAGCCCTTCGCCACCAGCCGCTGATAACCCGCTTCGAAAAGGTACCCGTCAGCCTCGACAGCATCGTCGACGACGACTTCTTCCTCGACACGGGCCTCAAGATCTCCTCCTATGTGGTCTACGAAAAGGTCACCGTCGTGCCGGGCATCAAGAAGGAAATCTCCTTCCCGGCCGTCCTCCAGAACATTCCCAATGGTCTCCGCGCCCGCGCCTCGGCCCCGGGCGGCGTCATCGTTCGGAGCGAGTGGCTCGTCGTGCCCCGTCCCGAGGAGCGCTGGCCGGGCGAGCACAGCTCCGGCAAGCTCGGGGGCTATGTCGACGGCGACTACGAGCTCGTGGAGAACGTCAGGGTCGAGACGAGCCGGATGCTGATGCCCCTCGTCAAGGGGCAGATGGAGGGCGCCCATCGGGAATTGTTGCGGAAGATGCTCGACGAGGTGGCGCAAAAAGTCGGCCGGTCCAAGATGTGATACGACGCAAACGGTGGGAAAAGGACATGATTTGGAAGTAGTACGATTTTTGGGTCGGCGTTGGTTGGCGAGTTCTTCTCTGTTTGTCTAGATACCACGGTCATTCATCATTCAGCGTTTTCTGTCGTCTTTGGAAAAACAAAATGAAGGACATATCCCTTCAACATTAATCCCCGTTACCTCACAACACACACCCTCCCCTCGTCGTTCCTCGTGTGCTCATTCACAGCCTCCCTTTCTGTAATTGTCAAATGGTATAAACAAGCTTGCCCGCGCTGACCTTGCCCTCCTTCAACTCCTTCAGCCCGACAATGACGCCGTCGAGTCCACTGCCGCCGCGGTTCTTGATGACGCGGATGGGCTTCAGCTTGCCCTCGGCGAGCAGCTCCCTGCTCAGCTCCCAGAAGCGCTTGCCAAATTCGTAGTTCTCCGGGACGGCGTCCCTCTTTCCGAAGTAGCCAAACTCCTCGCCGAAGACGGTGTAGTACAGGCTCATCTGCACGTCGGCGTTGGGGTTGACCTCCTGCACCTTTTTCTTGTCGACGGGCAGCAGCGTGCCGACGAGGGACGGCTTCGAGGACGACAGGGCCCTGGCAACGATCGCCGCGGACTCGTCGGTGGACTGGCAGTCCCAGGCCAGCGTGAGCGCGTCGCCCGTGTGCTTGCGGATGTCCTCGGACACGGTGGGCGACTTGTAGTCGAAGACGGCGGAGGCGCCGAGCTCCTTGAGGTAGTCGAAGTTGTGCGGGGAGGCGGTGGTGATGACGTTGTAGCCCGACAGCTTGGCGTACTGGATGCCGGAGATGCCCATGGCCGTGCTGCCGCCGTAGATGAGGATGGTCTTGGGCTCCTTTGCGGGGGAGCTGGGCAGCGGGAGCTTGAGGGTCTGGTAGAGACCTTGGCCCTGGTTTTGCGTGTGTAAGTGGATGATGAATCACGGGGGAGGGGTGATAGTGAAGGGAGAGGCATACGACAGTGGTGACGGCAATACCGAGGGTGGCAGCCTCCTCGTCGGTAATGTTGTCGGGAGTCTTGATCTGGAGGTCGCCCTTGACGGCAATGTACTTGGCGAAAGCGCCGTCAATCTCCCGCAGAGCATTGCTATATGTCGTCGTAAGCCACACAAATGGCCTCTTGTCTTGTCGACCAAGAGGAAACTCACGATCCGTTGACGGGTCCGCAGATACGGTCGCCCTTCTTGAAATCCTTGGTCACTCCGGATCCGACCTCCTCCACGATACCGGCGTAGTCGCAGCCGACCCAGATGCCGACGCAGCCCGCCTTGTCCGCGAGGTCGACATGCTTCCAGTCGGTGGGGTTGATGGCCACCGCGGTCGTCTTGACCAGGATGTAATCGTCGGCGGGGAGCTTGGGGACAGGTGCGTCGACAACCTTGGCCACGCCGGCCTCGATCGTCTTGACAGCTTGGTTCTGAGCCATTGTGAAGTCTGTGTGAGTGTGAGTGAGTCGAAAGGCGGTGATGTCAGTTCACTTCCCAATTGGGTCGATATGCCGAGAGCGAAGGGTGTCTTATATAGAAAGAGCTATGCCAACCACACAAACAAAGCATGAGAGCGTTCCTGCCCCCTCCGTCGTCAGAGCTTACAAATGCTAGTCCCGCGTCCAGCCAAGCCCAAAGCGCGGGTCCTTGAGTCTCCAGCATCTGCTGCTCGGCACATTGACGGCGGGGGCGGTCAACCTCATAGAAAACCACATCATAGACGGCCCCGCACCCAGAGGACGGAACGTGGCTGTCGCGCGGATCTAACACCGTTCCTGGAGTATTCCCGGTGGTCAAGCTCTACCTTCTGCTTCCCCTCCTAAAGAGCTCCCCAAAAAGCCCTTACTAGGACAGATGCCGAGGGAGTTCACCTTGTTGGCACTAAAGCTCGCAGGGCAGGGCAGGGCAGAGAGAGCTCCTCTGGCCCGGGGCCCTGCTCAACCGAAGGTCCCGTCTCGGCGCCGGCCATCTGCTTACGGCAACAGCCCATGCTGACCCTCCGTCGGGTGCTGCCCAGCCCGGCGCCGGATGCATTTGTCAGATCAGAGCTTGGCCGGCTGCAAATCGAATCGCTGCCGGACGTTGCTTGAATTCGTTGTCACTACGTAGATGGCCTTATCCGCACTGAACGATGAGCGAAAAGCCCCGCTACGACGACGATTTGGCCCCGCGGGCCCCCTCGCTGGTGATGTAACCATATCGTTATCGCCGACGGAAACCCCTCCGAGGGGCAACGCTTTGCCAAGTACATCTCACGTACAACGGAGGCCATGGTGATTTTTACTCAAGTGGAGGAGTAGAGGTGAACCTAGAATTTCATCATAATGGTATCTATAGCAACGCGTTCTAAACCCTGTAACCAGACCATCCGCTCAATGCCATCCATATCAGCGGCAATATTCGCAGTGTCCCCTTACAACAGTCGCTTGTTCATGAAGCGGTATAACACCAGGAATAAAAAAGATAAAAGACGTGTATCATAGACGATCCGTCGCACGTAGAAGTCAAGCAACAAAGCAAAAAAAAAGACAGCAACCAGCCGTGTTCGAACACTACCGACCGCCGTAGTCGCTGGCGTAACCAACTTCGCCGAACCCTTGGCTCATGCCACCCTCGCCAAACCCTGTGCCGGGTCCGCTGACATAACCGCCATCGTCACCTTCGTAGTCGCTAGCTTCGAACGATGAACGGCCTGAAATGTCGTCTTCCAGGCCGCTGCTTGCGTCCGGCGCAGACCAGTTCATTTGCGCGAGTGCTGGGTACTGTGCGAGCAGTGCGGCAGGCAGCATGTACTGGCCGCTGGTATCCATAGGGTAGCCCGGCTCCATCATGGCACCTTGGGCGGCCATATTTTGCATGTTTTGCTGTTGCATCCGCTGTTCTTGCCAAGCACGTTGTCTGTCAAGCATTTCTTCGTCCAGCAAGGGTTTGATGCAGATCCGACCTGCTTCAGAACGGAAATGTCTGCCAAGCGCATCCGCACGCGCAAATCTACGGCCGCAGCCCCACTGGCCACCAGCCTTCAGATCGCCCTTGCAGACAAACTTCTTCTCTCCCGAGTGCAGCCCCTCGTGTCTCTTTCTGTCATGCTGCCGAGCAAACGCCTTGCCGCAAACTGTACATACGAATGGACGTTCGTCTGTGTGTGTGCGCAGATGGGATCGCAAGTTGTAAGCTCTCGTGAATCGTTTCGGGCACAGCGTGCACTGGAAGGTGGCAGGATGCTTCTGCACACGTTTCGCGTTGCCGTTATCCTGGGAGTTTTGGTATTCGGGGTCTGCCAGTCTCAACGCAATGACGTTATTGGGCACCGCCGATGTCGACTGTCTTCTGCGATTGGGACTCGTGGCCTGTCGGTCGAGCGGTGAGAGTGATCGCGAGGAGTCTCTCGACAGATCGACACCCAGGTGAGGGGACAAGCTGCCTGAAGGAGTCTGGCGAACCATGCCGGGGCCGCCGCTGTTGAAAGGGTCCGTAACCGCGCGTGGACGGGATCGGGGACGGCCTGTTGCTTCTGTTAGTCACGAACGAATGGGTCAGAGTTGCAAGTCCCATACCTCGGTCAGGAGGAGTCAAGGAATCTTGATCCATGGGAGGCTTGGGGGTCTCGAAGTTGTTCGATCTTGAAGTAGGCGCAAACTCGATGTTGATAGCTGGCGCAACCTGGGGCATCTCATGTTGCTGCAGTGTCGGAAAAGCCTCCTGGCCCGCGTAGCCGGCAGCATATCCGGCATTTTGGGCAGCGAGGCCAAAGTTGGTCGGTTGGTTGAGCTCGGGCATCGTCTGGGGGAGGATGCGCGGGGAGATGGCCGGACTGTGGGAGGGGCTCCGGCCATGTAGGTTGGGGCTGCTAAGCGCCGGGTCCGAAATTGTGAAGCTGTCGAAGCCCTGAATCTGCTGGTAAAGACCAGAGTCTTGCGGGCGCTGCATGGGCGAATGGCGCTGGTCGACCGCCTCGAAGCTGTCGGCGCTCACGAGGTTAGGCGACGGGGCGGCGGAAGAGACGTCCGAGTACTCGGACGGAGACCTCCGGTGGCCCTGAAACTGGGGTTGACTCCATTCGTTCAGCTGGTTCGGCAGCAGAGCGGCCTCGGGCCCGAGTGAGGCGTTTCTCGAGTGACCGGAAGGGGGCGACGAGAACTGGTGTTGGTTGAAGGCCGGAGACTGGTGCGCGGAGGGTGTCTGGTGGGGGTCGGGGTTGAGCAGGTGGGGAGGGGTCGGCGAGTGGTGGCTCTGAGGCATGGCCATGTTCATGTCGCCTGGGTTGAGGCTGCTCTGGTCGAAGACTCCGGTGTTGTACTGCTGCTCGCCCTGAGTAGTGTTGGAGGGGAAGAGAGGAAAGTCGCCGGAGGCGAAGTTGGGGTCGAGGAAGCCGGCCGAGCTCTGGTTCGCGAAGGCGGCGGACTGGTTGAATGACTGGCCGTTCTGCTGGCCGTTCAGGAAGTTGTTATTGTTGTTGAAGGTGTTGAAGTCGGCGGAGGCGGGTCCGGAGAAGGCTTGTGTAGCTGATTGATCCAAGCCGAGGCCGAGTCCAATGTTTCCTGCGTCGGTGGGCTGAAACGGATTCGGCGATGGGGAATGCGAGGGTTGTCTTATATGAGGCTGTTGATGCCCCGCAGACGGTGAGCGACCGCGTTGGGCCTGTTGATCCATGATGTAAATGGATGCCGGGAGTCGGTAGTCGGAAGGATGGGATGCGTGTGTTGCGTGTGTGTGAGAGTGTTTGTTGCCGTCTTTAGAACTGGGCGAGGCAGTTCACAAGTCAGCCTTTCAGGCACCGCACTGCCCTGGGGCTGTGCTGACGCGCGAGAGCTGACAGACCGCACCCAACTGGCGACGGCGGGGGAGAAGCGTATGCGACGGACTGCGATTCGCTGTCGCAAAGACTTATGCGGGAACGGTAGACGTAGGCGCTTCTGGCGGATGTAACTGAACAATGAGATGGAGAGCGATGCCGAAGAGAGGACGAAAGTCGAGGGGGTTGTTTGCGGGTTTTGGAGGGGGCGTTGGAGAGAATGCGTGTCGCAGTAAGGTAGCAAGAAGAAGCGTCGGGGAGTGTATGTGTGCGGTAAGCGGTGGTAATGAGGTAAGTAAGGCAAGTACGCAGTAGGTAGGTAGGTAGGTAGGTAGGTACCAGCGTGCCAAGGGGAGTTGAGATGGGGAAGCGAGGGACTTGGATTCCTGTCCTGTTCTGTGGGCGGGCCAGAGACCGCGGGACCGGACTGGACAGCTGAAGGACTCAGACTCAGACTCTCAGGATCGGACTCAGGACTGGCGGGACCGACTGAGAGAGACAGAGGGACAGAGAACCTCGCAGTCACTTCTAGCGGTAATTTGGGGTCTGAGGTGTGTCGGTCGGGTCCCAGTTTGCAGCGGGCAGCTGGGGGGGAACTTGGTTGGGAGGGGAAGGGGTGAGGGAGGAGAGGAGAGGAGAGGGGTGAGGGAGGAGGACAGTGGAGGGGTGCGACCAGGGTCTGGGAGACAGAGACGCGAGTGGAGAGGCAGGTGCTATGCGCGGTAAGGTACCTCACAGTGCTGGGGACTGACAGGCGACGTGGTTGGCTGGAGGGGATCCACCTGGGCGGCCCAATCTGGGTGGTGCCCACAAGGCTGTGCACGTTTGAGGATGGATCTGTCGACCGGCGCCTTTGGGAAGTCACTCAGTACCTGGCAGACGCAGTACCTGACAGTTGTGCCTGACTTTGGCACCTCGATTGGGTACCTTTTTTTGTGCGTCCAGTTCCCAGCTGAAGTGAGTATCGTACCTTCGGCGGCAGGTACCTGGCGTTGGGGTTGGGGTTGGGTTGGGGGCGGCCAAGTTGTGCGTGCTTGCTTGTCTGTTCACGTAGCACCGCTCTCTGCCCTGCTCTCTGCAACGGCGCGCTCCGACTGCCCGTTCTACTGACTGGAATGCGCCGGGCTGCTTTTGCTTTGCTTTGCTTTGCTGTGCTGTTGCTTTGGCTGCAGCTCTGCGTCTCGGCTTCTGATCCTCTGCTGCTACGGCCGCTTTGCTTCTGGTATTCGGTTGGCTGTCGTCCTTGGTGTTCAAAGAGAAGCTGTACCGGCCGCGTGTCTGTCTGCGTGGAGCGGCGAGCGAAGCGAGCGAGAAGCAATGCTATGCTGCAAGCCTAGCACCGTAAATCCAAAAATATCCTTTTCTTGTTCTTTCGGGGCCGGCAGGGATCAGGACGCGACAGCTAGGCGAATTGTCGTCGAAGCTATCGTAGCTCTCTCTGCTGTTGCTTTGCACTGCTCTCAATTGTGGGCGTGCGTTGCGTGCGTTTGCTTGCCACCTTGGCCCCGACGTCCTGATGTCGGATGACGATCTGCTGCTGCTGCTGCTGCTGCTGATTGTTTGTGTCCGGTTGGTCAACCTTCTGGTAGCGCTCGTTATGGCTGCGAAGAGAACAAACAGTTTGATGATGATGTGATGTCCACGACGGGGGTGATGCCAATCAGTGGGATTCGCGAAAAGTAGATGGCGTTTCTATGCTGATATTCGTGGGAGCACGGGACGGAGGGCGCCAACAGCCATGCAGCCGTGGCGGCCGATTGAACGACACTTCACTTTGGACTGGGGTGTCCGTGGGACGCAGATACACCCTGGAGCAAGCTTGTGACTCGCGACGGCGCGGTAATCAGTTGTGCCGGTCGGCGGCGGCGTCGGAGGTCGGGGGTCGGGGGGGTTAGGTGAGCTTGCTGCTGCTTGACCTACCTAGGTAGGTAGCTTGGTGATTTGGTGGTCGGCGTCGCGGGCATGTGGGCTAATAAACACACTTCCACTTCACAATTTCTTAATTACACACTGGCTCCCTGGCGCATGATATCTCGCCCTTCTTTCAGTTTAGACCATGGGAAACGGGCGGGAAACAGTCCGGTGCAAGAGGGGCAAAATAGGGGTCCTGTTTCGAACATGAACATATTCAAGATAATGCCATCACTTCCAAGGTGTGGCCGGGTCACACCAGGGTGTGGTGTTGGTGTTGGTACCGAGCACGGGGAAATGGATTCACAGGAGGCGGATCATTGCTTCCTGTCCTCACGAGAACGGACATCCCGTCCGTACTGTAGAATTGTGCGGCTTGTTGGCCGTACCGCCGTAGGTAGTGTAGACTCGGTGATCCAAGCGTCGATCCGCATCCTTATTCGTACAAACCCATCCATTTCATTACTGTTATGTCATGCCTGTACGCTGAGTATATGCGAATATATGACCTAGGTCTCTTCCTGTACAGCTTATTACACAGCTCACCTTGCTGACCTTAACCCAGGTAAGGCGCGCTAGGTCCCAGAGTGTCCAGAGTCCAGACTGGATCATTTCCATATTACTCTTCTGACAGTTCATATTGCTGTCTATCCCAGACCGTGGTTGTCTCCCCATCAGCCGGCCTCTGGCTGGTGGTCCGTTCCACGGCCAATGGAATCTCGACTTGCTGGTCCTACGAGTGAGTGTGTTTCTGCTTGGGCAGGCATGTGCCTATGTCTGGAGATCTGTTTGGTGAGTACCTAATAACCTACTCTGTAAGATGAGGAGGTATGGTTGGTTGGTGTCCGCAAGTACTCTGTAGGTGCCTGGCCAAGCCAGGGGAAGGTTTCTGGCAATGGCACGAATACCTAGCAACTTGTAACTGAAAGTGTTAGGTTAGGCGTTTTTTTGCTTCTCCAAGTCTGCCTTGAGGTGGGTTCGTGTTTCCCCCGTCCGTGTCCACCGCCCAGCCAGCGCGCGCTGACTGCTTGACCAGACCCGATAATTTGAAATTACGCTGTTCCTCGCTTGGTCTTGGCATCTGGTTTCCCACCACCTTCCTTCACACTTCCGTGCCGCAGAGCAGAGCAGAGCAGAGCACACGCCGTCGGCACCGTGACCCCGTCCATCCATTCCCATTCCCATTCCCATTCCCCTTCCCCTTCCACCACCCTCTCACCGATCCATGGCTTTCGCATTTGCCCTGCATTTTCCCATCCTTCCCACCCTCCCCTGCGCCCAGTATTGACTTCCGGCGCTGTTCACTGTCCAGTCTTGATCTCTTGGCCTGGTCCGTCATCATTCCGTGCGCGCCGCAATACCGCCAAAATTCCAACCACCTGTCATCGGTCTGTCAGTGTCACAGGCCGTCGCCCCGTCTAGACCTTGACGCCCGTAGGTATTGACAGGCCTGCTTCATCCACTTTCCACCTCCAGTATCCAGTTGATTAGACGACCTGACACGGACGAAAGAGCCCACTTGAAGCTGTGATTCGCGTCAGCATGAGATGAGAGTGGACAGCCAAACGACTGGTCTCATCAAAAACATGACACCACTAGCAACCGTTGGCTGTCCGAAAGTCTCGGGTGTCTCTGCTTAGAATCAGCACCGAATTAATGGTGACGAGAGAGGGCCACCAAATGTGGTTTGCTCATGGTGCGTCGGACTCTCGAAATGGTAGTCTACGCGCGCAGGAAGAAGATGCTGACACTTTGTCATCGCCGTTACCCTCATCAGACAGGCCGATTCGCGAGCAAGCGAGAAGGCATAGCGACTTGCAAAGCAACCCTACTCGCCTCCATGTAGCCCTGTGCAAGCCCGGCATATGCATGTTCCTCCCAGATACTGATACAGGTCGCAACGCCGAGTTCGAGTCTGTCCTCGTCTAACACATACAGAGTCCGCTGGTACCTACCGAGTAAGGTACCGTAGCTCGGCTTCGATGACGTTTGTCCAATCAGCCCTGCTTCATCCATCTTATCGTTTGACAGCCGCTGCAAATCGCCGGCACTGTCGCCTCGCTAGGCTGAGCCGCCGGTTTACTATCGACAGGCACAAGTCTCACCTTCCCGCGTCCAAGTGCATAGCATTGAGACGAACGTCAGATTCAACATGAACCTCACCCCTCAAATCTACATCAGCGTCACATCTCACCTAGCTTGTTCGGATGCGATCGCCCACCTGAATCACCCACTATCCCTCCATTGCTGGCAACATTTCGCGGCCCCGAATTTCCAATGACACTTCTCGAAGGAGACCAAATGAGGCGCAATTCGTTTCGAAACAGGGCCCCCCTTCTTTGCCAGAATCACGACAACGGCCACCAGCAGCCCTGGTATCGACATTGTCGTTCGCCCGTGATTCTCAACCCCTGAGTGTCTCGCCCAACATCTCCCACGATACACGCCAGACTGCTCATGCTGCTCGGCACCTGCATCCCAGCCAGCCAATTGCAAAGCTGTTGCAGATGTAGCGCTGCAGGACGCGGAATAGCGTCTGACACAGCCACCCAAGCTTCGTGGCCCCCAATATCAGACCTGCCCCGAAATGACATCAAGCATCTGCCATCGAAAAATCCACAACGCGGCAGGAAGAAGCTTATTCGAGAAAAGGTACGAGGGACGTTTCAGGACAACCGACGTCTGTAAACTGCCTTCCTCCGCGGGCTTCTAGATTCTCCACATCGGCGAGAGGTCGGGTTCCATCCCATGCCGGGGCGGGTCTCGAGCCATTTCCCCCGCCTGCTCAAACTCCATTTTTAGAAAACATTCGGGAATACGAACCGGACCGCACGCCTGGGAATGGCATGTGGTTCAAAGACGTCAAGTCAAGCTAGGAAAGATGACGATGACGACGACGACGTGTCTCGCAGACGTGTCTTTCCGGCCGTCTCGGCGCAGCAGCATT